CCCCCCGCCCCCCCTTCCCCTCACCCCCCCTCGCGCCTCTGAGCTTCGGGAGAGACCATTGTTGGGGGGTGGGGGCGGAGAAAAGAGGATGGGGAGGGACTCAGGGCTCGGGGGAGAAATGATGAAAGGGCTGGGGAGGTGTCACAAGAACAGCTGGAAATGACCCACAGCCCTTCCCCGCTTTCTCCTAGTAAAAGATGAAAGGAATTAAAGGAAGGCAGAAATCGTGATGGAGGGAAGGCAGATGGGAAGACAGAAAGAGAGATGGTGAATGAGGCAGCCCCTTCCTCAGCATCCCAGTCCCAGTATGGCAGGACCCACGAATTTTAGGGGCTCTTGCTGCCTTCAAAACACTTCTCCTCCCCTTCGCCACTGCTCCCAGCCAAACTCCTTTTCCACAACCTTCTCGCAAATCCGGAGTGCTCAGACGCTTAAGTTCACCTGGCTATATAGAGAAAGCAGGTACAACGAAGTGTGGTTTCTACCCTGAGCCACCAGAGTCAGACTCCTGGATTTCTGCCATTTCTTTCCTCAGGGAACAGTCCAGGTTATTCATTTACAGACAGACCTCTTCATCCTCCTCCAGTCAGTTAGCGGAGCCGGGGTGAGTATTGGGAAACTGAGGGGGGTTTTATAGGCCTGACCACTGGACATTTCCCCTTCCATTCATTTGTTCCAGTTATTCAGAAAGGGATCCCTAATACCCTTCTCCATTTTCTTTGACTCCTCTCAGCCTTTACTCCATCCCAGCACACATTTCTGCTTCCAGGACAGGAAGGAATGAATTGGTTTTTGTTCTTTCTGTTGTCTTTCCTTTGCTCCTGTACCAAGACATGTCTGTCACCTGTTGACACTTGATGACCATCCCTGCTGCAGGGATGAGAGGGTATGTGGTAGTTTGGGAATATACATCCTGAATAAACATTCTAGGTAAGAGCTTAGGATAATCTGGACAGAGCACTAACTAGAGGCTCTAACCTGGGTTTTCACTTCTGACAAGCTGTCAACTCTTGTTCAAGTTCTCTGCCTCTGTGAACCTCATGTTTTTCACCTGGAAAGTGGGGGGCTTGGACTAAATGCTGCATCAGGTCCCTTTCAGATCCGATTGCGTGTCATTCTGCCTTACTCAATACGGAGGTTTCAGGATGCTGGGATATATTACAAGGAGAAGGCTGACAGGCTAGGTCTCAAGAGATCTCACATTTGCCAGGTTGAATTTACCACTGATAGGGATGTGGGCCTGGGTTTTGCCGGCTCCAAAGTTGGATCTCAGAAACAATCATTTATGCCAACAAAGTTCACAATTTACTGAAATAGAAAGTTTATACTACACAAATATTAGTTTATCATAAAAATTTACCTCACTCAGACTGAAAACTCATGTCTCCATGTCCAGTACATTCTCGCCCTGAAGCTAAATCAGAGTCAAAATGTCAATGTATAAACGCACATTGACATAACTGAAGGATTTGTATCTTTAATGGCATCTGGCCATCTCTGATAAGGAGTCATGCCAATGGGCCCAGAAAACTCATCTTGGCAACAATTCTCTACCCCCACCTCTATGCTATGGGCAGTCTTGCCAATACTCCTAGACTACTCTAAATCTGAAGGCTGAATCTCTTTCCAGGATGGTACTTGGACGGGCCTCAGGGACTCTCCCTTTACTAGACTTTCATTGCTGACTCCTCTTCAAGCTGATACATTCTTTATTTAATATATTAACACTGTCAATTCGATTATAGTCAAGTCCTGCTGGCACGGAGCCATTTCTTCTCTTCAAAGTGACTTTGCTTACTCTCCACTGATACACTATTTAATAAAATATAAACCTTGTACTCTTAGAGGGAACGCTTGTACAGTCAACCTTCCATAGTTGTGAATTCAGCATCTGTGGATACAACCAACTGCAGATGGAAAATGTAGTTAGGCCTGATGGCTTCATCTGTACTGAACACATATAGACTTTCTTGTCATTATTCCCTAAACAATAGTGTAGCAACTATTTACATAGCATTTACATTGTATTATTACAAGTAATCTAGAGATGATTTAAATTACCCAGGATATGCATAGGCTATATGCAAATACTATGCCATTCTATACAAGGGACTTGAGAATCTATGAATTTTGTTATCTGTAGGCAGGGGTCTTGGAAGCAATCCCCCAAGGATACTGAGGGATGACTGTATATATTTTAAGTTCTGAGGGAAGAATTAATCATTCCCCATCTCCCTTCCTAGTGCCATGCCCCACCAACTACTTCATATTCCCCTTTGCCGTGCCCGTTAACATTAAAGTTCCTAGGGAATCAGTCCCAGGAACAGGAAGCCTTTTATTCTTCTCCTTGCTCACCTCAGGCAGTCCCATGATTTTCATACTGTCCACATGCTGATGATTCCCACACTTGTATCTGCAGTCCAGACCTTCCCATCAACCCCAAACTCCAAATCCCCATCTGTCTATTCAGTATCAAGTCACAGATATCTAATAAGCACATCAAACTGAGGCAGCTAGAATTCCCGAACCAATAGCCTCCAGCCTGAAGTTGCTGCCTCCCTTTACCTCAATGTTGTTTTGAATGGTTCCCTGCCATGATGTGAAAAAGGACTGAGAAGCACTGATCTATGGGGAGCTCCCTCACTGGCTCTGACCTCAGTCTGCCTCCAACACCTTTAGTGTTTTATACCCCATGCTATTTGTCAATCTGTTTCTGCTTAGAGACATCCCATCCACCGGAATGAGCTTCTCCACCTTTGCCTGAGAAACTTCTACTTTTTCTTTAATATTAAATTCAAGCAACCATTTTTTTTCTGGGAAGTTTTCCTTGACTTGTATGCCAGGATACCTTTCCTCATGCTCTCAAAATATTTTATTTCATTAAAAATCTCTCATGTGTCAGGTTAGACAGCACAAATGCTATATCCTTAGCTGAACCAGCACAGAGCCTTTGTAGATACTATTAAAATTGCCAAATAAATGAGAATGATGTAAGAGAAACACAGAGGATCGGGCTCACCGTTTCTTATCTAGAGTTTAGGAAAGTTCATGGTTACATAAGCCAAATAGGAAGATTCAAATAGGGGGTGATTTAACAGGATAAAATGTGGCAAAGAACAGGAAAAAAAGGCCACTGGATTTGGTCAAGTTACTGAAAAATCTTTAAGCCCAGATTTAAATGTGGTGGAAATCAGGTTTAGAAGGAATGAGATCAAGAAAAAAATAGAAGATACAAACTCCTTATCCAAGATGTCTGGTGGTAAAGAACAGAAGAAATGAACATTTACTGACAATGAACTTTTACTGTTTCAATTTACAAATTTTAACTGTTTCACAATTATGAAAGACATTTATATGGTTCCAAATGAAAACCACATACAGAATACTCAGAGAAACCCAACTTCCCACCATAGCCTTTCCCTCTCTCTAGTATTATCAATTTCTATTAAGTTTTTGGTTTATCCTTCTATTTTTTTAATATAAATAAATACGTATGTATTAGATAAGGTGGAACACTATACATATACACATTTTTTCTTCACTTAATATAAACTGGAGTTAAGTATGCAGAGATCTTCCTTGTTCCTTTTTACTCTAGTAAAATGGAACTAGAATACTGTAGTGTATAGATTTACCAGCTCATTCAACCAGTCCCTTACTGATGGGATATGTGAGTTGTTTCCAATCTACTGCTATTACAAATAACACTGCAATGAATAGCTGTGTGCATGTTACTTCATATTTTTGCCAAACTATTCCCAGGCACTTTACATCTCCTCTCACCTTAAAACAATAATCCTAGCTGGGCACAGTGGCTCAGCCTGTAATCCCAGCACTTTGGAAGGCCAAGGTAAGAGGACTGCCTGAGCCCGGGGGTTCCAGACCAGCTTGGGCAAGTTGGTGAGAACTTGTCTCTACAATAAATCACAAAAACTAGCTGGATGTGGTGGCGTGCATCTGTAGTTCCAGCTATTTGAAGGCTGAGGCGGAAGGATCGCCTAAGCCCAGCAGGTCGAGGCTGCAGTGGCCATGAGCATGTCACTGCACTCCTCCAGCCTGGGCAACAAGAGTGAGATTCCAACCCCAAATAATAATAATAATAATAATCCTATGCCATAGATATTGAGTCCCCACCTTCTAAACTACAAAATAAGCTCTATGTAAGGAAATAATTGCTCCAGTGCACAGCAGAGTCTAGCAACTGCAACAACACATTACAGAATAAGGCTTTAATAATGTAGAGTAAAACCTTCACTCCTATTTTACCATTCATTTCACAATACCCTGACATCTCTTCTTAGAAAAAAAGAGAAAAATTACTTTGCCAAGGAAAACACCACCAGAATAAACAAGGAGTTTTATTTTCTCTGCATATTTGCAAAATACTTAGAACCAACATTTAAAAACAAAAAACCTCCTGTGAAAAAAAATTACATTAAAAATGGGTAGGGGAGCTGAAAGAGATTAGTGCCTTAGCCCCAAGGAGCTACAGCATCTCTGATTGGTCCAAGGAGTCTTAAAGATATTGAGAGAATATCACAGGAGGAAAGAGAATGTGAATTTACTGAGGGAGAGGGCCCCGAAGTGGGCCACGAGGTGGAACTGGAGGCCTGGGAGTGGGTCTGGGTGGAGGGAGGGGCCCCCGCTGGTAGCCATAGGGTGGGGGTCGTGGAGGGCCAGTGTACCCATGAGGGGGCATCAGAGGAGGAGGTCCACGCATACCATGTGGAGGCATAGGACCTGGGTGACCTGAAAGAGAAAGGAAGGTTAGCGATAGTGAGAAACAGGAGATAATTGGTGTTGGGAGATGATAGGGAGACAATGAGAAGAAATGTACGAAGTAAGGGCATGGGACAAGGGATGTGACAAATGAAGCTATAAGAATATGACAGTTGCAGATGAGGGAGGTGGCTAGAGGCTACTCACCCATGGGAGAACCAAATGGAGGCCCTCGTGGGGGCATGCCCATTGGAGGAGGTCCAGGATGAGGCATTCCAGGTGGTGGTCGGGGTGGTGGCTGCCCCCCAGAGCCTGGGGGCCCAGCATGGGGATGCCCTAAGCCATGAGGGCCATGGTGTGCCAGTTGCATCTGAGACATTCCTATGAAAATAAAACAGGCACAAGAGAAAGGAGATGATAGAGAAGAGGTCAAAGAAAATAGAGAAAGGAAGAGAGCAAAATGAGAAAGAAAGTGACATCAGGAAAAAGAAGGCTACAGAAAATAAGGCTGGTAAAAAATGCCCCCATCCCTGACCCCACTCCAACAGTACAGACCCACTACTCAATCAACTCCTTACCCTCTTCACTTGCTCCTTTCATGATTTAGGCACTGGAAGAATAATGCCAAAATATATAACAAGTGGGCTGATTATTCTGTTGGTAGGATTTGAGAAGGTGCAGATATACTGCCTGAGAAAAACTATAATTCTGCAAGATGAATATTTCAGGCGGACAAGAAAGCGAAAATAGAGTACCCCAAGCAGAAAGATCTGCATATGCAAATCATGAGTGTGTCAAACAGCATAGTATGTTCCAGGAAATACCAGTAAGTCAGTACCAGGAGCAACATGCAGTTATGGGAGTGATGGACAGAGATGCAATCATAAAAAAAGCTTTAAGAGCTATGGTAATGAGTTTGGGTTTTTCTCTCAAAAAGAAGTATTAAAAAATTTTTGAGCAAGAGGGTGTGAACATGTGTTTTTAAAAAAATCACTCTGTGAAAGTAGATCAAAGGTAGAAAACTGGAGTCAAAGTGACAGGAGGTTACTACAATAAAGTGTGAAAAATGAGGGAATGCAGCCGGGCTCCGGGTCTCAGCCTGTAATCCCGTGCCTTTGGGAGGCTGAGGTGAGCGGATTGCCTGAGCCCGCGGGTTCGAGACCCGCCTGGGAAGCGAGACCTCATCTCTACAATAAATCAAAAAATCAGCCGGGCGTGGTAGCGCATGCCTGTAATTCCGGCTACTCGGAAGGTTGAGGCGGAAGGATGACCGGAGCCCAGCAGGTCGAGGCTGCGGTGGCCGGGAGCGGCCACTGCACTCCAGTCCGGGTGACAGAGTGAGACTCCAACTCAAAAAAAAACGAGGGAATGCAAGCCTGAACTAGGGCAGTGGCAGTGGGGACAGATGCCACTGATATAAATAAGACTTGGGATTAAGAGAGGAGTGAGAGTAAATAGTCAAACATAGCTTTCGTGTTTGTTAACAAAGCATGTGAAAACAAAGAACACTAAAGGAAGAACAGATTTGAAGGGGAGGGGTCAAAAAGTGGAGCTGTCTATTAATCAGCAGGATTAAGGACATGAAATGTTAACAACCATGTACTAGTGCTACAGATGTAAGGCGCATCAGTGTATATGTAATTAAAACTATAGATATATGCAGAAAAGGAGAAACAAGCACAAAAAATCTAAGCACAAGCAGACAAAAAGGAGACTATCAAGGTGGCTGAGATGAAAGAATCAGAGAGATAAGTGAGCAATCCAGAAAGACAGAAGCAAAAAAACAGAAGCAAAAAGACAAGAATTTCAAACAGGAGGACAAGGCTAGTTTCAAGTACACTGGAGGTCACACCAAATAAAGAGCAGAAGTGCCCTTCAGATTTGGGGATTAGGCCAATGTTTTGAGGAGTCAGAGGAGAGAATGGAAGTAAAGGTTAAAGAAACGAAAGACAGCAAATATAGTCTACTCTTCAAAAACTTAAATAAGAAATGGAGACAGGGTTGTAGTTGTTAAATTAAACCAAGTATTTTGTGTTTGATTTTACAAAAGTTACCTGAAAGAAAGAGAACTCTGAGACTGTTATTGTTGAGGAACAAGAGCAGCAGGATGAGTGGTGATAGTGACCCTCTACCAGACTCATCCCTCCTTTTCCCAACAACCTACCTGGATGAGGCATTCCACCTGGTGGGAATGGGTGAGGATGTGAATGTCCATGACCAGGATGTCCTGCTCCTGGGGTTCCTGCTGATGGGGGGCCATGTCCTGCAGCCCCAGGAGGCATGGGTGGTGGGGGCATGGCTGGGGGTATCCCAGGTGGGAGGGCTCCAGGAGGTGGCACTGGGGGTGGGAAGGAGCCAGGAGGTGGCATGCCTATACAGGAAATGGAAGAAGGAAGAGTTAAAGGTACTGAGTTAAAAATGTCTTTAAAGAGCCAGTCCATATCTGGCTCTCCAAGCAGGGTGAGTTCTTTTCTCCTCCCCTCAGTACTCTAAAACCAAAAGCAATATCAGACAACTTAAACAATTTCAACCTCCTGGAGAAACTCAACAACTTTCTTCTCCACCATTACCATCACCCCTCAATTCCCTTCATATCACCCACTAACTCAATGTCTCCTTTTAAGTACTTTTTTCTTTTTCTTGCCAACCTCATCCCCAAAACAAACCTATTTTGAGCCAAAAGTTTTACCTGGTGGAGGAAGCCCCGACCCCAATGATGATACCACAGGATTGGGGGCAGAGGGTGGAGGAGGAGCATCTGCAAAGAGCTGATGAGGGCGGTCAGCCTGGGAGAGTGGATTCTGGGCTGCCAGAAGTCGTTCAGCTGCTGAGCCATGGCGCTCACCCTTGGAGTCCTTCTTAAAGGCATAAGACACAGTGATAGGACGGTTACAGAGGTACTGCCCATTCATGGCCTCAATTGCTGCATCAGAAGCATCAAATGAAGCAAAATTAATGAAGGCATAACCCTTGGAGTTGCCTGTGTCAGGGTCCCGCATAATCTTGGGGGTTTGTAAGATGACCCCAAAGGCGCTGAAAGTATCATAAAGCAGCTTCTCATCAATCTCTGGGTCCAGGTTCCCGATGAAAATGTTGGCCCCCACATCCAGGTTTTTGTTGTGAGCTGATGCCTTGTTCACCCTTATTGGCTTCCCATAGAGTTTGATCATGTTCATGATCTTGATGGCATAGTCAGCATCTTCCTCACTCAAGAATTCCACAAAGCCATAGCCTGGGGAAGTGGAGAAGGGGAGGTTAACAACTTAAGTGATAAGATTCCAAATGGGGTGTAACTCATCCATCCTCTAACCACAAAGAACAAGACAGAAATAATATTCTCACTTCACTTGAAATTCATTCCAGAAACAAACTGTAAACTGAAGCTTAAGAGAAAAATATCTTTAGGAGGCTTATTCCAAAACAGTGTGAATACTGCTGGGACCCTACACAGTCCCCTCAATATATAAATGTTACTTCTTACCATGTACTCACCTTGGTGCTGTCCAGTAACTCTATCCTTTGGCATATGGGTGTTAACTACTGGTCCTGCCTGGAGAAACAGTTCCCACAGCAGTGGTTCGCTAACCTTCTCATCCAGGCCCCCCACGTACACAGTGGCATCTGGACAGAGGGAGCAGGAGATAAGGGCAGGGGTGAGAGTATAAGGAAGAAGTTATGGAAACATGAAGAAGGAACCCAAGTAGGGAAACGGGGGTGGGAACGGGGTGGGGGAGAGTTCGGTTAAACCCTTAAACCTCTCTCTTCCCATAACCTGGAAAATCTTCTGACGTCTAATTTGTACTCTGCCGCAAATTCTTTCTCAGTGGATTTTTTGGCCTTTTTCAGTGGCAGGCAGCAAGGAACTGAACATACAAGCATCATATCTACAGGCCTCAGCCTGCACCCGACCACTCCGCCCCCAGCAGGCACGGGGGCTGGACTCGCGCCCTCCGGGGGTGGATCCAATCTCCCACCCCGGCAGAGACACTGCTGATCCTAGTCAGAACCTCCCAGGTCCACCGGGCCCATTCTGGACCCGTCCCTTCCCGTTACCCTGGTTGCGCTCGGAGATCGGCCCGGCAGCCATGGCGAAAGAGCTCCCGCCGTCTCCAAGCAGCGGCTCCGCCCTCTGACCTTAGTTACAGCTTCCACTTCCGGGGCAAACACGGACGCGGGATGGCGGGGGAGGTGGCTGAAGCAGCGGCGGCCATCTTAGGAACCGCTGAGACCGGGAACAGCTGAAACGTGACGCGGCTCGGGCCCCGGAATCTTCTGGCCTTTTCTCCGCGGTGTAGCTGCTAGTGGCCTTAGCGAGAAAGGCGGAATGGAAACGCTCAGGCCCCCTTAAAGTACCGCCAGAGCGAAAGAATCTCACGCTCCCAAAAATGTAAACTCAAAACTGAAAGAACAAAACGAAACTTTTCATATATTTTGTGGCCAAGAGATCCATCGTCTGTTGCCCAGAAAAGGGTGTGCTGAGGAGTCCCATCCCCCCAAGGACTCGGCTGCTTTCCGGCGCGGAGGCGGGCTTCCACCCCGCCCGCAGCCTTCGTACACATTTCGTTTTCTCCCGGTGGGGAAATTGCGGAACGTCTGAGCTCACCTAGTCGTCATTGCACGGGGCTGTGGGGAGCGGGGTGGAGAGAATGAGGCTTCAGCAAGAAGAGGTGTGACCAAAGCTGAGGGGTGGCTGGGGTTGAAGCTCAGGGATCCCAGTATTGACCTCCAGGACACACACTGTCCCCAGCAGCTTCTTGATATGCTCTTCCCCCGTCTGCCTCTAGAGGGGACAGAAAAGAGAACCCTTTTCCCAAGTTGCGTGTAAATTCTGCAGCGCCTCACCTGACCTAATTTTCTTATTTCCTTAGCAACAATATGATGGGTGCCTTCCTCACTTGGGTCACACCAACCCATTACCCACCACTCTTTGCTACTTAGGATTCTTTATTCAAACATAAGAAACAATGCCAGCAATGTGTATAAATACTGTGCTTTAATGAATTCCTTAAATAGAAATTCCACTACAAAAATACACTTGGAGGAGACAGGGTGTCTCCAGTATCCACCGTATTCCTGTAGAAAACTTTAAGGGAAGAAATAGAAATTGGAATTAAGCAGCAAGAGGGAATGGGAATGAGGTCTCCAGGCTATCTTATTGGGACTGATGAACAACTTCTCTGAGCTCACAATTTAACTTCCTGTTATTCAAAAGGGATGGAATTGGCCTAACAAAAAGGCGATTGTGTATCACATTCTGGTTTTTGTTTCTTTTTTTTTTTTTTTTTTTGAGTTGGAGTCTCACTCTGTCGCCCAGACTGGAGTGCAGTGGCCGCTCCCGGCCACCGCAGCCTCGACCTGCTGGGCTCCGGCGATCCTTCCGCCTCAGCCTTCCAAGGAGCTGGAATTACAGGCATGCACTATCACGCCCAGCTGATTTTTTTTTTTGATTTATTGTAGAGATGAGGTCTCGCTGCCCAGGCGGGTCTCGAACCCACGGGTGGTTTTTGTTTCTTAATTCTTCAAATCACAAGAAACAAAAATATCTTCAGGAACCAAACAAGATGGAGCACGAGCTGGAGAAGATTAGCACCACCATTTGCAAGGAGACTCAAAATGTACTGAGTTTAAGGGCTGGAGGGTGAAAGCTGAGGCAGCAAAGCCAGATATTTTTAAAAATGAAGGATTAGACAGATCCCTCCCTCACCACAAAACCCTCTGCTCTGCCTTTGGGAATGCCAACAGTTTCAATGGGATTGAGAGAGAATGGTATTTGGATCTCTTTTCTTGGAGTGATCCTCAGGAGATACTCTTGGTGTCCATTTCTTTAATAACTCCTGAAGATGGGATAGCTCATCCTGGAGGCCAGAGATTGTGAGAGCTGAGAGGCCCATCTGGGGAGGAGGAAAAGGGGGCACAGTAATGTTATTGCAACTCTCTCTGCTTCTGAGATCTGTCTGCTACTTCTGGTGTCTTTAATTCTCTTTCCCCTTCCAACTGTACCCTAAATTCCACTTACTCTAAGCTACAAACAGTTTCCCCCACCTCCCACACTCCCAAACCCAGTTTGATACCAACAGGAATGGTTCTTCACTTTCTAATTCTCCCAGGCCCTTGCTTTTCTGTCTCTTCATCTGACTTAGTAAAGCCCCTTCTCCCACTCCCAATTCCATTTTCCTTCTTACCTGGACTTCAGGCCTTCCTCTCAGGTAGCAGCGTCTCCAGAGCCTGATCTGGGGTCCCAGATATCCAGGTAGTAGCAGCCCTGGAGGCAAAGGACAAGCTCCCCAATGTGAGGGGAGCCCCCATTCCTGGTCAGCCAGGCTTTCGGAGGAGATAGCAGGTCGAGGGAGCCATCGAGAAGAGACTGCCAGCAGGGAGGGACTGTCCCGCCATGGACAGAGGTGATTCAGGGGGGTCAGGGCTCCTCTAGAGAAGAGCCACATAGAACTAGGAGGTCCAGGACCCATGAAGTTTGGCTAAAGGGGAGAAGAAATCAAATGGCAACTTGAGAAACCAAATAACCCTAGTTTCCCCAGTCTGGATCAGGAAGGGGTACCCCCCTGCCACCACTCATTGCATCAGTGACTAGAACTACAAGCCTCCCACTCAGAACTCTTCAAACCTCCTCATTAGACTTCAACTAGACCTCAGGACTGATTAAAGTTGTTTCAGGGTAACATGTAAAATGTGTGCATGAGACAGAAAGATGAGTAAACAGACTTGAGGAAGACAAAAAGAAAGCCCTTGATATTCTGTGTTCTAGGACTTTTGTCTTCTTAGGGATAGTCAGAGACTATGAGTGGTACATGCAGAAGAGGCATGGGGTAGCTTTCCCTAAGGAACTTAGACATCGTGTCTTTCAACTTTTCTCCATCCAGTAGCATGAGCCTGTGGAAAAGTCAAGGGAATTTAGGAAGTTTAGACACTTCACCTGCTGTCTAGGGAGCCAGGAATCTGGGCAGTGCTCTGGGTTATAGCCAGGATTCTGGAATTGTAGTATCTGTTCATTGCTGTAGCGTAAATCCCAATCCCAGACAGACAGCTGCAGGTTAATAGAGTTACCAGCGGGGGCCTGGGAGTAGCCTGGGGTGTAGACCTGCGTATAGGAGTTAAACTGACGAAGCAAGAAAAAGGATAGTTACACATAAAAATCCTCCCAAATCCAGAGGAAAATCATGAAGCTCTCACCCCTTCCTCTAGGATTCAGTTGTAGGGCAAAAGTCTCATCTTGAGATTGAAAATAAGCTTCCCCCTTCCCACCCACAGACTTCGCTTCTCATAAAACAAATAAGACTAAATTTCTCAGTGAGAAAGGAAAAAAAGTTTAAAATGGAAGTCACTAACCTGTCCACTCTGCTTTCCACGCTCCCGGGGAGTATTTCTCAGGAAGGTAAGGGTGTCAGGAACCCTGACACTATCATGAAGAGCAAGAAGCAAAAACTCAGAGAATTCAAAATCAGCTGGAAATTGCTGAAGGAACTGCCAGACACAATCAAGGAAGAGGAGAAACACTGGTGCCTGAGAAGAGAAATTAAGAGATTGGAGGGATTGAGGGGACCTAAAGAGGGAAAGTGACAAAACAATAGGGGATGGGGCACACAGGAAGTAGGGGGAACTAAGGAGGTCAGGGAATGAAAATCTGAATTGAAGGTGGGAGGGTTGTGAGGTCTCACTCATCTGAGTCTTCAAGCTCAGCCTAACCTCAGGACACTTCTGACCTGATTCACCTCCAATGGATTATACTGTATAATTTTTTTTCTTTCCCTTACTTCTTTAGTAATACCCCCTATACCCCCCAAATTGTTCTCACCTCTTCACTGGCCCCAGTTTCCCCAAGCCGAGTCAGGAAGGGGTGTCCAGCTGCCACCCACTCTCGCTGCACTAGTGATTGGAAGCCAAGCAGTGTTCGGGCTTCAGGTGCTGAAAGCAGCTGGACGAGTGAAGAGAGGAGGCCATTGAAATCACGATCACCGCGCTCTGGGTGATAAAGAGGAAGAAGGGACAAAGAAGGGGGATCCAGGAAACTGGGGAAGCAGAGAAAGAGAAGAAGAAGTGTAACAAGAAGAAGTGAGAGGCACAGGGGAAAAGTTTGGGGTGGGCAGGATTGAGAGAGCACATAAAAGTGAAGAGAAAACAAAGACCTTGAATGATTCACTTCATAGATTCCACTTGAATAGAAATACCCAGTTTCACATGTAGGGGGCAGGATCACAATTCTCAAACCAGCTTCCACAGTATCCTTCCCACTCCAAACCCAGTCCCCATCCACTAATGGAAGGGGAACAGAGGGACTAAGAACATCCTATTGTTAGGGAGGGACCACTAACTAGTGAGGAGGCATAGGTGGCTTTGAAGGGTGAGAGATGGGGCTCTTGGGTAGTTCCCAGGAACAAAAGTGGAGAAAGCTTAATGAGTCTCCCTCCCTTGGCAGAATCCAGTCAGGCGGGTAAGGAAAGAGGCAAGGAATGAAGCGCACTGTCCAAAGGAACTCACCTTGAAGCACTACAGAACGAACCCTGGATGTCACTAATACTGAGATGTCACTGGCTTTTCGAAGACAAGCCCTGGAGTGGCAGATGAGGAAGAGGGAGGAAGAACAATAAGGGAGGGAGAACGGAGTCACCAGTCATAGGATGGAATAGAGGTAGACTCCAAAATTCTGCCTCTTCTCCTTCTAAGGAGCAGCAAATAACAATCTCCTTGGGAAACCAAGGATAAGAGTTAATGGGAGGCCTTTTAGGAGTCCAGGTTAACAGGAGATTGAGAAAGGTTGGATTACAAATGATGACTAAGAGAAGAGAGGAAGTACCTGACATAGTCCAACCATCGTGTTCCTTCCAGGGCAGAGAGCCATTTATCCTCAGCTACAGATGAATCTGATAGAGGGTGGGGGGATCAGAAGGGCAAAAAGATCAGGAGAACTCAGGATTCAGGATTCAGGTCTATAACCTGATGGGTTAAGAATAAGTTGGTTAGTCACCTAGAGCTGAGAATAGGAATGAAAAGTAACTAAATGGCCATGATGTTTCTGAAAATAATTTTTTCTTTTGAGTCGGAGTTTCAATTTGTCACCCAGACTGGAGTGCAGTGGCATGGTCATGACTCAACATACCCTTAAACTCTTGGGCTCAGGTGATCCTCCCACCTCAGCCTCCTGAGTAGCTAGGGTTGTCGGTGTAAACCATCATGCTTAGCTTTTTTAAATGTTTATTTATTATATATTTTTTTACTTTTAGAGATGAGGTCTCACTATATTGCCCAGGCTGGTCTCAAATTCCTGGGATCATGCCTTGACCCCAGCCTCCAGTGCTGGAATTACAGGCTTGAGCCACCATGCCTGGCTGATGTTTTTAAAATTAAATTGTGAAGGTTATATGACCTGGTAAATGTAATAAAATTAATTGAATTATACACTTAAGATGGGTGCAGTTTAAATTTTATGATATATACATTATGTCTAAATAAAGTCATTTACAAAAGAATAAGTTGTGGCTAGGAAGACAGGAAGTCAGTGAATCTGTGGGAGATGGGAGTTGAGTAGGAAAAACTGAGGATCATTGGGCTAAATGGTTACTCATCTATAGCAGGCAAAAGGGTAACCTGGGTTAGGGTCAGAAGACCTGGGGTGAAGGTGAGGGGTCAAAGATTATTCTCACCAGGCAGGCAGAGGGCTCTCAGCCTTAAATGGGCAAGTTGGACATCTGCAAGACTAGGCAGCTCATCCATAGCATCTACCAGGACAACATCTGAATGCCCAGCCTGGAGCATTGACTCCACTGCTCTGGAGGGGAGGGAGTCAGGAAATAAGGAAATAAGGGCTTGCCCTGAACACCAGGCCCTTGATTCTTCTTATCAAACCTCTCCTCACCTGATATCCTCCTTGCTAGGGTCACTGGCTGTATAGAAGCCACCACAGCGCAGAAGATCACTGCCACCAGGGTGATGCCAGGACAAGCGCTTCAGATGGGTGAGAAGAAAGTTGTTGCAGGAGAAACCCCTAACCTCCTACCTTGCCCCCACATTGACCTCACAGAGATCCCTCCCTCCACATCATCCCCAGCTTCCCACGACCCTCTAATCCTCAGCTATCACCCTCACCCTCACACTGACCGGTCCTCGGCCCTGATGAAAGTGGCCAAATGCTCTCCTGACCTCACTGTCCAGAAGTCGGTTAGGGACCCAGAAGTAACGGGGCAGGCTGTGAATTGAGAGTGACGTTACAGTGACTTCATTACAATGTAAAGCTGTAAAATTGCTTTGGAGGGACTTTTGCAAGGTGTCTTGGGTTTAGATCCTAGGAGGACAGCCCAAGGAGGGTGGAGTTTAAGAGAAGTCCTAGCTTTACAGGATCAGGAACTGTGGGAAGATTAGGAGAGCAACAGGGTTGGTGTGGACAGAAGGATCACCTGGTGGCTACGTCGAACCTCTCATTGACTGTGCTGACCCTCCAGCCCTGGGCTCCTTGCCTCTTCCGCTCAGTCTCCCAGTCTTCTAATGTCTCCAAGAGAGGAATAGGTGGTTTTCTGGAGCGAGAACCCTGACCTGGGGCAAGAGTGGGGCATAGGGATGGAAGAAGAGGAACCAGAGACAGCTTCTCAGCTCTTGTCCACAGTCAAGTGTCTGTCTTTTCAGCCTCCTTAACCCTTTCCTTACTGTAAAGGACCCTCACTCACCAGTCTTGCTCAGGGTTATCCCTGCATACTGTTGGGCTTGATTGCTCTGAGATCTTGCTTGGATAATAGCCATGGTCACCTGTGGAGGAAAGGACATTCCATCCTTTTGACTCAGACTAAATAAGTGAAAAGAAGGAAATGGAACCCATGTGTTGCTCCACCCTCTTTGCCAACAATAGAGAACAGTGAAGATAGTCCCCAGAGGAGAGGACGTCCACAGGTCATGGGACTAGGGTCAAGAGAACAAATCTAGAACCACAGAATCATAGAATGTTCATTCTGGAAGGGATTTTAGAAATAATATCATCCAACCCTCCTGGTTTTTCAGAGGAGGAAACTAGCCCATGGTCACACTGCTAGTAATTGGCAGAGCCAGGCTAGAATTCAGGCTCCTTGCTCTCATTGTGTCATCCCAACCTTTTAGCCTCTCCATGAGGAGAAGCAGGGGGACTAATGAGAGGGATCTGGGGAGTGGGAGAGTATTGGGAATTGCTAGGGAGAGAACCCCAAGTTTCTAAGGAGAGGGGGGATCCTCAGGTTAAGGACCTCTTACCTGAAAAGCTTGAGGCTCTAGCCCTCCAGCCTCAAAACCAACTCTGAGAAGCCGGAAGTCTCGGCCATGAAGTAGAATCTCCTCAGGAATGAATTTAAGCTGGAACCCTGGACGGAGGAGCTGGACTCGGGATAAGCCACTCACTGAAGTCAAGAGTTAGAAAGCAGTGTAGCCATGAACCAGGGTCCCTCGAGGAGGAATTTTTCCAGCCTATCCCACTCCATCCCTGGGTATTTTCTCAGAATAGAGGAAGGATGAGGAGGAGTCCCAACACCCCCACTGAGCCCATTCACCAAACCCCCACACTTACCAGCCTCTAAACGCCCAATGTTGATCAGGGCAAAATCATACTCACTGCTCAGGGGAGTGTCCTAGAGAAAGCACATGACTAGTGCTATGGACATCTGAAACACAACTCTGTTTTCCCATCTTAGCAGCCCCCAGCCCCCTTCCCCTAGATATAGTCCCCAATGACAATCACTAATACATTCCAAAGATAGTCCATGCCCAAAATGTTTGTCTAAATCCTTCTAGACTCCCCTACCCACTTTCCATTAACTCTCCTTTCTGTTTCCCAAACCATCTCACCTGATTCCGCTGCCATCCACAGGGCTGGAAGGTGACCCTAAAGTTGGTACAGATCAGGGTTCCAGACAATTCAGGCTCCAGCCCCTTCCTCACCCCTGGGGCCCATGCTAGGATCTGCTCCCCTAAAGAAGAAAGGAAACCAGGTTATGACTATCCCATTGTTGCCCATACTTGTATACATCTACTCCTCTGAGACAGGGAGATCTAAAGAGGGGCGATTATTAGCCTCCCCTGACCCCACTAGAATGTAAGCTTATGAGGAAAAAGAATTTTTTTTTAAACCTCTGTAACCAGAACAGAGCCTAGAACAGGACCTGGTGCATAGTGGGCACTAAATATTTATTAAATAAGCAAATGAGAAAAGAGGTAACGGGGTCAAGAAAACAGAAGGAATATCAAGGTCCACACACTCAGACAGCTCTGGATAAAGAAGGCAGAGTGTCAGGCAGAAGCACTTTGGGCCAGGAGAGAAATACAGGGGTATCTTTGGTGAGGGTATGAAGCAAGATTGGTGAGGGATGAAATTTGGAGGAGTCTTTGGAGTTCAGAAGTATTGAAAGGGTGTTATTACCTGGGAGGCATCCAGAGGCCAGGCAACTGCTAAGCTGACGGCTCCTGGGCTCCGGCATCTTGCTTCCCTGGACAGACTTTGGTCCAGAGAGCTGAGAAAGGCATAGGGTTAGTCCCGGGCCTCCCTAACCCTGGGGCCTGGGATTACCTCAGCAGCCACCTTTGGAAGCCTCCACTTAGACTTTCAGGGGAATCTGAGATCAGTGTCTGTGGGGAGTGTAGGACAGGTTGGCAGACAGTAAAGGGAGGGGCTGGTTAATGGATAATGAAACAACGAACTTGAGACTATGAAAAAGGCACTGAGCTCCATCAACGGAAGTTGATATGACAGACACTCCTCCTCCTCTAGATCCTTTTCTTCCCCCTTTTATCTCTGCCTCATCCCAATTCTCACCCTCCTGCCAACCATCCCCCAGTCTCCTTTTTCTTACCCCCATCTCTGGCTCCTCCTTCTGGGGGGCGATGTTGAAGCTCTGGCCCCGGCCCCCCCACCACATTTCTCTGGCTCCATCCGGGGACAGAGCAGTTAAGGGTGGGAAACCTCAAGGATGCTCAACTCCCTTGTGGAAAGGCTAAATCTTGTAGTTGAGGAGAGTCAGGGAGAGGGGCAGGGGGCTGGACACAAGGGAAAGGAGCATTGGAAGTGCATGGAGCACAGTTTCAGAGTCTTTTGAAAGTGTTTCCAGCCCAGACTGAATAGTCTCCTCGGAAACTTCAGTCGATTCTGGAGAGGGCGGGAGAGATGCCCAACCCCTTAAAGGAGAATACACACAATTTTGGAAAAGTGGAGAGGAAACGGAGGAGCCTGAAAAAGATGAGGGGAAATGAGGAACTAAGAGAAAAACACGCAGATGCCCTTCGTTACCCCAATCTCAGATCCTGTTCTCTTTTCATAATAAGTATTGGAGGCTGTTTGAGGGAAGTAGTAATGAGGATATTAAACTGGAATAATTTTGGCTACCTCTCTGGAGTCTCTCAGTGATAACTTTCCTGGGAAGCTCAGTGTTTCTTGTGTCATCTTAAAGGTGAGAGTGTGGAGAGGGGCTTGAGTGGGAAGGTAAAAGTAGTTCAAGCCTTCTTACTTACCTCCTCCGACAAACCTAACAAAATTGTTGAGAGGGGAAAGTAAATAAAAATTGGAACTTAGAGGATTTTTGCCAGGTGAGGCCCAAGAATGGGGGGGGGGCAGGAATGTTTACAGTGTTTTTGTATATCTATCCAGAGAGCATGAAACATACCTCACGTGAAGAGTGCAGTGGAGAAGTATGAAGAAAAGGTGAAATGTGTCCAAGATGCGGACACAAGTACAGGTATGTTTGTGTGCAAGTCTTGGGGATGGCGGTAAGAGCTGAAAGGAAAAGATCTTGCCAGTTAACACTGTCCATCACACACCCCCAAACCAAACCAATTGGCAGTAAATGCCCATTCCCAGTGCATGGCTCCACCCCTCCGACCCAGACACCAGATCTTCAAATGAATGATTCATGTGCAGGACTTTCAAAGCTGAGGGCTGGAAACCTCTGTTCAGCTCAACAATTCCATAATCCCTCCCTCCCCTCTGCAACCCAAGACACAAAGATGGGTAAGGGGAGGGACTAGGAGAAAAGGAACTGCAGCTCCTTTAAAGGAGGTTGACTTAGGGGCAGCAATGCAACAATCTTTATTTAGACATGAAAAAGACAGGAAATAAAATACAAAATAAAGGTTAATGAGCTGTTTTATTGTGTTTGAGTCTACAGAGGCAGCAATCCTTAGGTGGGGGCCTGGGTTTTCCAAAGTGACACTCAACTCTCTCCTTCCAGTACACCACCCTTCTGGCCTCAGCTCTTAAAGTTCCCTGACTTGGCTGCAACTGTGGAAATAGTGAAGATATTGTGAGACAGGAAATCAGTCTGGAATAAAGAGGTATACACCTGCTAGGAAGGTGGCCCAGAAGCCTGATTCCATTAGTCCCAAAGGCAACAGAGCACTAACACTCCACCCCGCCCCCTGCATTCCATGGGTCCCAACCTCTTGGGAGAAGAAAATACTTCCCAAGGCCTATTATAATATGAAAACACAGCATAGGAAGAGGTGTGTACCACAATTTTAAAATCCATTATCCACTTTTCTTCTCCCACCACCCTTCATTCAAGAGCCTCATTCTATTCTTTAACACTTTGAGGTATGGGAACAGTGGAGGAGTGGCGGGGGGGAATCAGAGAGAAAAGTAAATTGGGTGATTCGGATCAGCACCTAACCGGAATGCAAAGTGGGCAGCAGCTGAAGGTAGAGTAACAGGATTATCTCTCACTACCCCTAACAAACACCCAGTAGAAGTTTACTGGATGAAAGGAAGGGTGGAGAGGCAAGGGGCTATATCAGATTTTTCCGTTTTCAGAATCCTGGTCTGGCTGCAGGTCTGTGCCAGAAGTGAAGGCTGCTGGGAGGGGCAGCTGGAGAAGGAAGGTGGAGCTGAGTGACTCACAAGATGAGTCACAGATCCAGTTATAAGCACAGAAAGAGGCCAAGCTCCTTCCCACCCCCTCCTCCTAGTTGCTGCCAGCCAGCGTCTGCTGCTCTTTTCTATGCCCCTTACCCATGTGGCCAGTGAAGGGAGGTGGCAAGGAGAAAGTCTGCAAAAGGGACATCATAATAAACATTTTGTTAACCAACTTAAGTGCAGGGGCAAAACATCTTGTGATTTGCAGACTGGGTGTCTGCAAAGTAAAAGAGACAGAATGCTTATATGACTCATCTGAATCTGTAGTTGAAAGGCCTGGAGGGAAAGACGGAAATGAGAAAAATCTGGAGTGCAGGTGATTCCAGAGAAGAGGCTTCTAATTCTGTCTTCTCACCTGGGGCATTAGGTCTGGAGCACTAACTCCTTGGAGTAAGAAGACGACACAGAGTCCAGAGGTGTCTGAGTAACTCAGGGACAATCACCTCTGAAATATTCCTTTATTGAGAAAGAAAAAATGTAAACTGGAACCTTGGACATGTGGCTAAAAAGAGTAAGAATGGCAAAAGCTAGGTTCTCAGAACTCATTCACAACCAGCTCCATTCTTTTGGGCTCAGTATCACCTCTCAAATATAAAATACGAAGTCACCGCTCATTTGTGTTATGTTGGTTTGTGGGCTTTAGTGTTGCTTAAGAAGAAACTGAGCCAATAGGAGAGGGAAAGTGCTTCTCTTTAAAGGCCTGAGTTTTAACACCATCCCCACTCCTCAAAGAGAGTGAATCTTCTAAAACAATTTTTGATATAACCTTTTTATTTTGTTGATAAAATCCAGTATGGAGAAAAAGACCTTTGGTTAAATCCTGAAACTTTCAATAAAACTAGCATAAGTTATGGGAGGGATTTGGAGGCCTATCCTATAGTATATGTGCTCCGTTGGGGATGGAGTGGAAAACCTGGGAGGTCTTAAAAAAGCAAAAAATATGAACCCTGAAAATCTCCCCTCTCCATTAAAAACGTGAGTAGGTACCCCAAATGCCCTGGATTAAAGGAACTAAGTGCACTTAAATTTAAGCCTGAGAGATGATATCATCCCTCATCTAGGGTTACAGGATCTACCTCCTTCACTCACATACCCCTCCTTAAAACTAAGGAAACGTTGCTCATTTTGAATGCATACCATGTACCCCTTCCTCCCTTCTCCCCAACACAGTAATTGCATGGGCTTGCCTCTTCCACCCCCTCATCTTCCCAAAATACTACAAACCAGTCTGAGTCTGTCTTCATTACCCAGGCATTACTCCTTCACCCTCAATACCCCCCAATCCCTCTCAATAGTAAAGCAAAACAAACTCCATTACCCCATATAAAAAAAATCCATTGTGTCAGGGTTCCTCATTCTTAGAATGGAGAGGTTTTTCAAAGCCTTAATAAATAGTTACCTTCCCAAATAAAAAATATAATTTATTTCTTAATAAAAAGCTATAAGGCCTAAAGCCCTATTTTACCGTATTCACCCCTAGACCACCCTTCAAATTTCCCACTGTTTTTTATTTGAAAAGAAAGCAATGAATTGGGATTCATGAACTTAAATAAAAATAAAAACAAAAGCAAACATGATATACAGTTTTGTTCTTATTCATTTGTCCTCAGTTTCTAAAACAAAAGTTATTAACTAAAATCTAATAAGAGATCAAATCCAAACACAGCAGTTCAGTGGAGAATTAACTTTCCTGATTTTATTCTCTGGGAAAACCCTTGGTCTGTTTCCATTCCTATTGGTCCAGGCCAGCATCCTATGACATGGAGGCCTAAAGGAAAGCTAGATGAGCTGTGCAAATTCAGGGTGTTTGAGCAACCTGTTGTTTGGAGCATGATAGGAGGTGGAGGCTCATGTGGTGGTGGTCTTATCAGTGTTGTTCAAAACCCAGAAACAGGGACATTACTAAGGTGAGGTGAGAAGGCAGCACTTTGGGCACAAAATTTAAGGGGTGCCAAAAACCCTGTAACCGAGATAAAGAATATTGAAAAAACAAAATTAATGTTAAAAAATCTATGACAGACAATTATCAAAAATGCAAATAAGGACAGGATTCATCCTCATACTTGCTCAATCCAGCCTCACTTCCTTCACCCTAATCTTAGTCCTGTCAGATTTCGTCATTATTTAAGATTTTGCTTCCAGGTATGATGGCTCACACTTGTATTCTCAGCACTTTGGGAGACTGAGGTGGGAAGACAACTGAAAGCCAGGAGTTTGAGACCAGCCTGAGCAATGTAGCAAGACCCCCATCATCTCCATAAAAATTTTTTAAAAGGGCTACTTCGGGTCCCCTCCCACTGTGGGAGCTTTTCTGTCCTCTTAATAAATCATGCTTTCTCAAGATAAAAAATAAGCAAAGTGTGATGGCATGTGCCTGTAGTCCCAACTACTCCAGAGGCCGAGACAGGAGAAGCCTGGAGCCCAGGAAGTCAAACCATGCCAGCCTGGTTATTTTTAAAAATAGCTTTTTTTTTTTTTTTTTAAGTAGCCAAGCTTTTTGGTACCCCCTTAAATTCTGCACTGGAGGGGAGTGCTCATCTCATACTAGATTCCAGACCTGCCCAGACCATATACATCCCCTCCTTTGGAACTTCACTGTTTCCTTTCCTTAAAACCAACCTATTTTCACAGAAAAGTCTAAGAACTAATAGCCATAGAAATGATCAAAACAGCAGACTATCAGATTTGGAAAGTATATGACTTTTGAGTTTGCTAAGGAGAAAGGAACCTTTCTAAACTGTGAGCAGTTTCAATGAAGACATTCTTGGCGGGCTTTGTTACCAAAGGGGAAATATGACGAAAACTTTCCTGACTGGGTGGGAGGAATATTTGTAAGAACCCCCCAGCATACACACACACCCCTAGCCCATGTATGCCTTAGATCAAATGCGGGAATTACATTCCACGAGATGAGTTATGAATAGAGAAATCCAAACACAGAAAAACAGACCCAATTAATAATATGGACACTTAAGTACACTTATTCCCCTTCTTCATATGCACCCAAGAGTGTATACAATTGCATAGTTGATTTTTTTTCCCAGAAAAAATATTAAGGAAAAGGGAAATTGGCCCAGGATAGGTCTTCCAGTTTAAAGCTCTTAGAAATGGCTCTGGCCACAGCGGAGGCTGTCCAGACTTGTGCTTTGTGCAAAACGCAAAGAAGCTCCCCCTACTGTGTACACATCCCTACTCCCACCCCCTAGAGAAGAGGGTTGGGTCAGGGAAAGGGAGAAATACCAAAGACAGATCAACTCATTGGGAGTAATCTGTGATCTGTGGTTATAGTTCACTAAAATATATTTCTCTGACTAACCTTTTTATAAATTGTCCCTAACCCCCACCCTGTGTTTCAACATCAGTCCTAATATCAAAAATATCTCTTCTTACAAAGAATTTTTAAATTATTTTAATAAACTAACCACAGATTAAGGTCAGCTATGGCTTAACAAAAGAAGCCGGGATGTTAAGTTCATTCTCCAAAAGTAGAGAGAAAGGAGAAAAAAGTAGGAAAAAAAAAATCTTTTTAAAAAATGTTTTTGCTTGTTGGGGTCTTTTTGTTTTTTTTCCTTAAAAAAAAATCTGTCAATAAAATAAGTTGCTTTTTACAGAAACAAAGCAGCCAGTTACCACACAGGATGGTAGTGCTTAATTTAGGTTTTTGGTTTTGTTTGAAACAGTCTGGCTAATTATCTGTCCTCCTCCCACCCCTCCCAAGGTATACTCAAACCCTAATGTATGGTTATTGCTAAGTAGTTAAAAAAGAGATCACCTCTGCACCAATTCATTTGGAGAAAATTCAACACACACAGCTGCTCTTCTCATCACTCTCTTCCCTTTCCCAGAGGGAGCTTTTTTAAAAAATAAAATTAAAATCTTTTGTAAAAAATCACAACCTTCTTAACTTGGCTCAGCCCTCAAAAAAGAATGAGGAAGAATGGGAGCAATCGGCAATCTCCTCTCAAACTAGAACAGATGACAGATGACTGTTTAGAAGGAAAGAAAACTTAAAGAGGTTTGAAAAGGATTCCCCTTTTCAGTTCCTCCCTTTCCCATTTCAATAAACTGAGATTTAAACGCTCCCTCCTAACAAGCACCCATGAGCACACATTATTGCCTTGTCTTCCCAGCTCCTTCAGGAGGAGGAAGTTATCAATCCTAATTTCTACCTTAATTCAAATCAATAGCAAATGTGTCCAATTTCCCAGTTTCTCTCCACACTCCCAAGTCCACCACCATGTGCTTTTTTCCAACCTAAAAGAACTTTGGTCTATGTTTTCTTTTATTGACTGAGAACCTCCTTTGCCTATCCCTTCCCCAGATTTCTGCCCACCTCCCACCCCACACACCAAACCTTCTCTTACAGCTTTCCCTTAGGTCCTGAGATGAGACCCAAGGAGTGATGAGACAGAATCACCATCTTTCCTCCCTGTACTTCCTAAGTCCCATCAAGTCAAGCTCTACAAAGGAACAGTACAGCCCTTGAGGCGTCGTTCAGCCCTGACCTGCTCTTGCTAGCCTGGCAGCACTCCAGCGCACACACACTTAAAAGTTTCCAGCCAGGTTCCCACAAACATTACTGCATCTGCCCCATCAACATGGGGGCTGTGTGTCTTGATGAGCCAATTAGTTGAGCTTAACTTTCTTTGTTCAGCCCCCTTGCCCACCAAGGTTCCACCCATTCAGAACCTGTGCACCTGCAGCTCCCCACCCGGTTCTCGTTCCCTCCTCCTCAGTTCTTCCCTGTAACAACAGGAACAGAAGTTGTTTGTCTCAGGATGTCCGTAGAAGCTGCAGTTCGGTTGTTTACATTTGGTCTGGGTTGGGGGAAGTCCCCGGGGACCTCCAGCCCATCCATCTGGCTCAGGGGGCTCTCTGTAGCCATTGCTATAGGAATCAGCCACGCGGAAGTGGGGTGGTAACAATGCACCCCTGTGAACTCCATCCTTGGAGTGACTGCCTGGCTCCAGAGAAGGGATGCTGTCCTGGTGAGGGTAGGGTCGCCCTGGGGGGCATTGTCTGGGGTAGGTGGCATATGGTGGTAGGCCTCCCCCACACGGACCCCCTGCCAATTGCCTCCGGGGTTCCTGGCAGTGAACTCCACCCCCAGAAGGCCGAGGGATAGTAAAGCCTCCAGGGTAGCCAGCGGGGTAGCCAGCAGAGAATGCCACTGCCTTGGACTCTGCTGGGGTGGCAGGCAGCTGCTCCTCCCCACCATCTGGCTCTGGCTTTTTGGCTGGAGGAGGCCCACTCCCTACTCCTCCATTTATGATCTTCCTCTCTGCCTCCTTCTGCTTCTGTTCTGCCAGGAATCTCTCCTCAGCATCAGAAAGGTAGCGCTGGATCATCTCCTCCTGATATTGGTGACGGTGACCCATCTTCAGGGTTCCAACAAAAATAAACTTGCCCTCCCCTTGCATTGCAATCCTCATAATGCTCAGGCTTTGCATCACCTCCTGGCTATACTTGCTCCCTCCATTACCAACAGACTCAAACGTGGGCTTCTCAGATACAGGCCCATCCCCAGCTGCCTCCTCCTTGCCACCCTTCCAGCTCTTCAGTGAGTTTTTCTTTTTCTTCTCCAGCGTCTCAGTGCTTGCCCCTGACCCTGTTCCCACCCCTCCAGGCTTAGAACCCTTGCTGTGCATCAGGCCTCCCATGTTCTTCTTGAGTTTGTTGCCCAAGGTTTTGCCAAAGCTGCCCAGTTTGTTAGCCACGGAATCTGCTCTCTTCTTGTCCTTCTCCCGATCTCGCTTTGACTTCTCCTTCCGCTTGCTGCCCTCATTGCTGGTAGAACTGCTGCCAACTGACTCCTTGTCTGACTCCCCAGACTCGGGAGTGGACCGAGGATCATCTCCAGCTGAGGCTGTGGGAGATTCAGGCTGGGCCAGAGGAGCCTGGAAGAGACAAGAACAGTGTTGACAATTATCCCATCAGTCTGCTTTGGGGGAATCCCCCAGGGTCCTCCAGCTCATCCATCTGGCTGATAGGGCTGCTTGTAGTCACTGTTGTAGGAATTAGCCACACAGATGAAAGGTAATAACAACACTCCTACTAACTCCATCATTGTAGTGACTGCCTTGCTCCAGAGAAGAGCTGCTGTCATGACAGGGGAAGGGTGACCCAGGAAGACACTGTCTTTCTAGGTTTCTGTCAGCTCTCTTACGGGCCAAGGAAAAATGTATCTAATATCTAACTTTTATCTCACCCACTACAATTTGACTCCCTTCTGTAATAAGGAGATATGAAAATGAAGTCTCACTGTTCTTCTAGAGCAATGAGCAACAAACAATACACAGCCTCTGGGTGACAGCCCGAGATACTAGAATGTTATTATAAATTTCTTGTCAGATACACTGGCTCACACTTGTAGTCCCAGCACTTAGGGAGGACAAGGCGAGAGGAGAGCCTGAGCCCAGGAATTTGAGACCAGCTTGAGCAACACAGCAAGACTTCATCTATACAATAAATTTAAAAATTAGCTGGGCATGGTAGTGTAGCTGGTAATCCCAGTTACTTGGAAGGCTGAGGTGGAAGGACTGCCTGAGCCCAGCAGATCAAGGCCACAGTAGCTGTGATTGTGCCATTGCATTCCAGCCTGGGAGACAGAGTGAGACTCCAAATAAATTTTTTTTTTTAATTCTCTATGCCAAATTCTGCTCAAAATTAATCTCAAGAAAGTCTTAACTAACCACAACCAACCAAGTCTAACCATTTTGTATCCCCTCAACTTTTATATATTCAGCACTGGAGTTCATCAATTTGCTCTTGTTCTGTGTTTCTGTTTTAGCTGAGAACCCACAGAATCAAGAGCTTTTTTTAAGTTATTCTATCTTCTTCTGGTACCTTAAACAGAGGTATATAAAAGAGCTTGGGACAAAGCAGTGATAATCTAAAGTCAATAAAAAAGACCAGAAAACTTCTTTTCTCTCTCTCGCTTCTCTCTTTTTTTTGAGTCAGGGTCTCACTCTATTGCCCAGGCTAGAGTATAGTGGCACCATCACGATGCAACCTCCTGAGCTCAACCTCCTTCCAACTCAGCCTTTCATGTAGCTGCGACCACAGGCATGTGCCACCACGCTGGGCTAATTTTTTTTTTTTTAATTTTTTGTAGAGACAAGGTCTTGTTATGTTGCCTAGGCTGGTCTCAAGCTCCTAGGCTCAAGCAGTCCTGCCGCCTCAGCCTGCCAAAGTGCTGGGATTATAGGCATAAGTCACAATGCCTAGCCCAGAAAACTTTTATTAAAGAATGTATTTTAGTTTCAAAAAATAGAGCCTGGTTGGAGAGGAGCTGTGGAAAATGGAGGGGACTAAAAGTTTAAAAAGTAGAAAAAAGTGTCTTTGGAACTTATCTGACGCCTTCCAGTCATTTCTAGCCTTGAATCATAAGCTAGCACTCAGAAGAAATACAGAAGGGGACTACCAACAGATATCCTGTTCTCCCTGTCACTGAAAATGAGGAAACCCCAGGGTAGATGTGGGAGAACTCTTCACCTGTGCATCAGAAGACAGTGGGATCCACTTCACATTCATGTAGCTATGTAGCAGATGCAATTTGACCTCTAAGGACAGAATTACACTGTGAAGAGGAGAAAAAAAAAGAAAAACAGTAACCTTTTAAAAGCAAAGCAATGTAAGATAAAAGGTAGGGGAGGGCTCCATGGCTTGGGACTCAAAGAGGGTTGGGTTTGAATTATAATTCACCAATTACTAAGTGTTATGACCTTGAGCAAGTCACTTCAACCTCCTTAAAAATCAGTTCGGGTTGAGATGGGTGTAACTAATACCTATGCTGAGGTTGTTGTGAAGATTCAAACAGTATTTGGAAAGGGCCCAGCAGTGTTTGAAAAATAGGAAATACTCAAAATTTTTTTATAATTATGTGAGAACTTATTTTTAAAAAGTCACAGACATTGGATTTTAAAAGCAAACCATCTCATCTGGGACCCAGTGGCAGGAGCCCTCTGGGTACAGGTGAGGGAGGAGCTTTTTACCTTCAGACAATGTCCACAGAGAAGCTGCGGAGGGAGGCAGAAGGAAGGCTTAACAAGCTACAGGGAGAAAGAATGGGGGATGGGAGTGGGAGAGAATATATATATATATATATATATATCCCCCATCTCTTTACATTCCAAAAGGCAAAATATCAGAGCAAACTATTTTGGTCAACTATTTAAAACCCTTCTCACTTGGGCTGAGAAAAGAAATGTAATTTGATTATCTTGATTTTCTGATCACTGTTTTGGGGATTCTGGGATGTATCAGTATTGGAACACTCTTGCTGATGTAAGAAAAGAATAAGTTGAGATCCCAGGATTCCCATCTCTTTCTCAGGGAGAGAAAGCAGCTCCACAATGCAAGATCCCAGTGCCCAACCTATCTTCCACCTCTCCATTTTCCCAAGAAACTGGAGTTAGGATGTGATTTTTCCTCTGAGCTGAGGAGATGCATGCTGCATGTGGAAGAGATTGCAGCTACAAAGTAGAAGGAAGGACTATGCTTGCCTCACCTGGCCAATCGGACATTGTCATTGTCATCTCTGCCCCACTCCCAGCCCTTTCCAGGATCCACAGCAAAGTGCAAGGGCAGCAGCTTATGCTCTGAATCTGTAAGTGGGATCACAGCTGAGGAGAAAAAAACACGCCATCAAGGAGTCTCCTTGAGGAGAGAGAAGGCCACCGATCAGAGACTTACTTCATTAAAATCATAACACAGGTCTTTAATTGTAGTGACTTCTCAAGTCTTATATGTGAATTACCCTGGCATTAAAAAACAATTGTCTAGTTTTTCCCTTACTGCCCAGCAAATGATTTAGGTCACAAATCTCCATGACTCCCCCACCAGTCAGTCAACTCTCATGATGTTCTTGCCAGCTAATGTGTATTCAGGGAACTGAAAATCATTATTAAGACAAAATAGCAAAGTATCATTCAGAAGGTCCTATGACCTTAATACATAAACCCTTTACTCCAGAAGAAGTAATATAGGCCTGTTTTTCCTCCAAGCCTTTCCCTTTTATTTATTTTTTTAATTTAAAAACGCTTGTATGTTTGATAGCTTAAAACAGTACCAACATGTACTGTCTGGGCTTGCATGTCACTTAATTCTTTCCTCTTACATTTTCTCTCATTCCATTCTTTCAAGTGAAAATAATGCAGACCAAAAGACAGCTGATTCAGCACCTTGTTCCTTAGCATTCTCCTTCTGCTCCATGGACACAAGTGCAGAAAAGTGGGCCTGATCGTAGGCAAGCACCAGAGGGGAGCGATGACACTGGCTGGCTGGGACCTCCAAGGGCAGATAGATTCCCCCAAAGGGAATAGGGGCAAATGCTGCAGGAAGCCATAAAGATTATTATTAAGGCTGTGTTCTTGCCTAGTAGACAACCCTTCCACCCCATTCTGCCAACTGACTCTCGCTTCCATTCCAGCTCATTTAATACTTATTTCCTAAGCAGACTTGTCGATTAATCCCAACTGCTTTACACTGAATCTCTTGAGAATTCTGCATCGTTCTAATTTATACTTTGCTTTTTTCCCCAAGTGTTTAATATCATCCCTTACCTGCTCTCCTCCCAATGCTTAGTCCATGGCTCTGTGAAAAGGGTGTGCTCTGAGTGGACTGAAGACTGGCTGACTCACCTTCACCTCCAGAGTCTCTCAGCATGGTGTCTGCCACGACAACTATGGGCCTCCTAAGCACATGAGCAAGGACAAAGACATGGAACTCTTCTAGGCTTTCATATACAGGCTCCTCAGAACTCTCCACCCTAGAATGGCAGGAGGGGAGAGAGTGAAGTGGTGTACAAAAGGGAGGGGAAAAAACAAAAGACCCCTGAAGACCAGTTCTGCAGAAAGGGAAAAGAGGAATGTCCTTTCCTGGTTTTTCCAATCTTAAGACTGCCATTCATAATAGCTTATAGCTGGTCTCGGTGGCTCAGCCCGTAATCACACACTTTGGGAGGCTGAGGTGAGTGGATTGCCTGAGCCCACGAGTTCGAGACCCGCCTGGGCAACTTGGCGAGATCTCATCGCTACAAATCAAAAAATTAGCCGGGCATGGTAGCACGCTCCTGTAGTTCCAGCTACTTGGAAGAGTGAGGCAGAAGAATCGCGGGAGCCCAGCAGGTCGAGGCTGCAGTGGCCAGGAACGGCCACTGCACTCCAGTCTGGGTGACAGAGTGAGACTCCAACTCAACAAAAAAAGAATAGTAATAATAATAGCTCATTATTTTATGCTACCACAGCTAGTTCTGCTTTCGTTTCACAGGTGGGAAAATCCAAGAAAAGAGATTTGACGGCTCTGGGGTTAAAGTAGTGCTAGCAATCTGGAGGTAATCTCTCTCAGTATTCATCCTGCTTAACAATGTCTCCCAATTCTCTTTATCCAGTAACTCAATACAAACTGCGCAACCTCACTCTGCTTGCTTTATACACCACACCCATGCAAGTTATAAGAGACACCTTAGCATGGCACAACATATTCACTGTGTCTTACAAAAAAATTGCCAAACAAAATTCCTCTTCCTATGTTCCCTTACTTGTGCATGGGTGGCCTAATCAGAAATCTGCAAAATATTTACTGTGCTTTCTCTCTCACCTTTAATCACCTGGCTTGACCAATTCCACCTCCTACGTGTTTCTTTTGTTTCCTCTGGCCTATCTTCAATCTACCACCCTGTTCCCACCCATGACCCTTTCCTGGATTACTAAAACTGCCTCTTGTCTATTCCCCTCCTCATCATCTATTCTGGTATCAGTGTGTTCAAATACTGAGTGACAAATTTGCTCCTGTCACTCACATACTCAATATTATATTCAATGGCTAAAGCAATGTTATTCAACAGTGGATGCTTGTTATAAACATGGATTTCTGGGCCTTACCTCAGCCCATCTGAACTGAACTTTCTTGGGGTGGAGGCCAGATAGTTGCATTTTAAGTAATTCTCCCAGATTATTCTTATGCATGATAAAGTTTGGGTAGATTATAATATTTAACTTTCTATTATAGAACATTTAAAACATATTCAATATTATAAAGAATATTATATTTAACTCTTATGTATCCATCACCCAGCTTCAACACTTATAAACACACGGTCAACCTCTTTTCTATTTATACCTCAATCTATTTCCCTATCACCCCCTGCCCCCACCCTACCGGATTATTTTGAAGCAAGTCCTAGACATCATATCATTTCATCCATATACACTTCAGTTTTTATCTCTAAAGAAATACAATACTCCTTAAAAAAAAAAAATCATAATACCATCAATACCACCCTAAGAATTTAACAATAATTAAACATGTAGGCATTGTTCTCATTTCCCCAGTTGTCTTATAATGTCCATTCATTCCAATTGGTTGATATGTCTCTTAAATTTGTCTAAACCAATAGGTTCTCTGTCTCTTTTTATTTTTCTTGCAAGTTATCAGAGATGCTTTAGCATGGCACACACAAATGTAGACTTCCCAGCCACATCTAACATTTTGCACCACATACTCTATATCCAGCAATACTGAACTACCTGCAGTTCCTAGAACATACCATGCTGTTACACACTTGGTACCCTTGCCATGGTTCTTCTTTTTTTCCTAATACCCTCTTAGCACAGAGCTCTCTCTATACCAGGCTGCTGAAGCCCAGTGAGGACTCTGTAAAGATCATTTCCTGCTTCCCCACTTAGCCACACTTACCCACCACAGTTGGCTCCATTGGTACCCAGATGCATTCGGGGTTCACTTGATGCAAGCTTGATCAGTTCATTCCACTCTTTCTGCCATTCATCCTCTGTGTACACCAGTCCTGACTATGTGAAAGACAGGCAGGGGACATTAAGCAGTTAGAGGCTAGGTTCTAAGAGGCAATAGCCATTCCGGCTTATTCAGTTACCCCACTCTCTATTCTCTTAGCACTTAGTTTATAATTGTGCTACAAAGTCAAATCTCTTCTCCCTTTCACAGTCAAGTTCCATTAAAGGACAGTCTATGACCTTTTTGTACTTTTGTTTTTGGGGGGGTTTTAAGTTGGAGTCTCACTCTGTCACCTAGGCTGGAGTGAAGTGGCTCACAGCCACTGCAGCTTTGACCTGCTGGGCTCAGGCAATCCTTCTGCCTCAGCCTTCCAAGTAGCTGGAACTACAGGCATGCGCCACCATGTCCGGCTAATTTTTTGAATCATTGTAGAGATGAGGTCTCGCCAAGTTGCCTAGGCTGGTCTTGAATCCATGGGCTCAGGCAATCCTCTTGCCTCAGCCTCCCAAAGTGCTGGAATTATAGGCGTGAGCCACCGTGCCCAGCTATATACTTCTTTATTTTCTGTTCTTTCTTGATTCATTGCAGTCTGGCTTCTGTTTCTGCCCTCTGGCCTACTCACTCACCCCACATACCACTTCACCTAACTGACTCTAGCAAAGGATACCAATGATCTTCTAATTGCTAAATTCACTGGACTCTAGTTCTCATCTTTCCTAGCTTTCATGTGGTTTATTTTCCTCTTTAAACTCTCTTTTAGCTTCCATAAAATTACTTTCTATTTCTCTAAAATTCCATAAAATTACTTTCTATTCCAAAAACATTGTTATTGTGTCCCTGAACTTAGCGCTGGTTCCCTCTGGGTGATCTCGTCTACCATAATCTCATCCACTACCATCTATATACTCATGTCTCCAAAACCTTCCTCTCTAGCCCCAACTTTCTTGTTTGTTTTTTGAGTTGGAGTCTCTCACTCTGTTGCCCATGCTAGAGTGCAGTGGCACACTCATGGCCACCGCAGGCTCGACCTGCTGGGCTCAGGTGATCCTTCTGCCTCGGCCTTCCAAGAAGCTGGAACTACAGGCACACGCCACCATGCCCAGCTAATTTTTTTTATTTACTGTAGAGATGAGGTCTCACCAAGCTGCCCAGGCTGCTCTTGAACCACTGAGCTCAGATAATCCTCTCATCTCAGCCTCCCAAAGTGCTGGGATTATAGGCATGAGCCACTGTGCCTAGCCCATTTTTCTGTTTGTTTGGTTTTTTTTAACCAAAGTCTCATTCTGTCATCCAGGCTGGAGTGCAGTGGCACGCATATAGCCACCACAGCCTTGACCTGGTGGGCTCAGGTGATCCTTCCACCTACCTCAGCCTTCCAAGTAGCTGGAACTACAGGTACGTACCACCTTGCCCAGTTAGTTTTTGATATAGAGAGTCGAGGTCTCACGATGTTGCCCAAGCTGGTCTTGAACCCCTGGTCTCAGGCAATCTTCTCACCTCGGCCTCCCAAAGTGCTGCCCCTACTTCTTAATTGCTATGTTCATGTATCAATATCCATACTGCCTATTGAGGGCTGCCACTTGTCCGTCAAACTTTATATATTCAAAATTAAAATACTGTTTTTCCTCAAACCCACTCGTCTTATATTTGTACCTTAAGGAGCAGAACCAACTATCACCCAAACAAGAAACCAAGGAGTTATCTAAGACTCCTCTTCTACTAAGATAAAGAATCCACCTCACACCTGGATTCTTTCAGTCAACAATTATTATGCATGAACTATTGCAATGCACCTTTAGCTGGCTTTACTACTTCCGGTACTCTTCTGGTTCATTTTTCTATAATGCTACTGGAAATATTTTTTCTCAAATTAAAATCTGGTGGTACTTGTTTCCTGCTGAAATGGCTTTGAAAATCTTTACTGCCTATGTTTAAAACTCCTTAGGTGTTGTATACAAAGCCCACTTCCTGATCCCTACCCACTTTTCTACCCACTGAATTAGCTGTAGTTCCTGAAATGTACCATGTTGCTTTATACCTCTGAGCTTTTGTCTAAGTTTCTTCTGCCTGGAACAGCCCCATTCCATATCCACCTAGTGAACAATTTCTCAACTCTCAGGACAGAACTGAAATATCACTCCTCTGTGAAGTCTCCTAAATCTCTCTGGTAGATCAACCACTCTTTCCTTTGTGTCCTCTCTCCTGAACTGCTATATAGACTTCTCTCATAAAAGGCATATATGTTATACTTTGTTGCAATTATGTATTTACATGTCCATCTCCTACTACTTTTAAGGTTCTGGAACATGTTTTATGTAATATGCCCATTGCCTATTATATGATCAGTAATCAATACATACATGCTAAGTGAGATTATAATTTTTATCAAAGGAGAGCATTCAGAGTACAAGCAATTTTAAAATATATTGGCTTAAAAAATAAAATAAAATATATTGGCCTTAGGATGCATATGATGATTTGAAAAATAAGTTTATCTTATTAATTTTATTTGGCTTACATTAGTATTAAAATGATCTTACAATACTTAAGTGCACACTGACAGAGTGGAAGGAATCACACTGGAAACATTAGGAGCACTGGGAACATATTTAATGGGAATTAAGGAACTATTGTGAGTATATTTTACTTTAATAATTAAAAAATGGCAAAGCTATTTTAAATTTGTAAAATACTACCACATATTTTATTTCAATTGAAGATAATGAGAACAATGCACAGGTTAAATAAGGGGTGCACTGGTCACTCTGATATACACATTCAGGAGTATCTCTCTCTTCCTCTCCTTTTTGCTTCATGTTTTAATACTCAGAGCCACTAGGTGGTGTACATTGCTAGCCTTAACTTTTGAGAAAATGTTTTACCACCAATTTCAACACAAAACAAGTAGGCACAACACTTATTTAGTTTGAATTTTGGTATTGGGGAATTCAAAGGAGCTCCCCAGTCCATCACACCCCACTTCCCATTTCCACTCCCAAGGTGGGGTATAATGCTATAATGGTCTAAGCTAAGACAATTATGTAGGCCACTTTTTCAGTATGAGCTTTTACTGTGCTGAACAAATGGAATAGGACGATTGCCCCTTCACTAGTCACTATTCTCTATGCATGCATTTCTGTTGGGGACACTGAGAGGGAAGAGTTGGCTGACCAGGGTTAGGGTTATTTGTGTATCTCCTGGCTAGTTACCATTATAATCTAACCCCATCTGTAAAATAACTGTAACAGCTTTAATAACTAGACACATCTATTCTCTGACTGTTGCTATCATTTCCACTTAATAGTTGGTATGCTCTGGTCTGGCCTTTTCTTGTCTCTGCAGTAGTCAAATTTAAGGCTCAGATATGATCTGAACTCAGCAGTGAAAAAGGCAAAGCTGACCACTGATTTGCTTCAGGTTCTAATTCTAGGCTGGCTCTAGCTCAGGCAAAAGAAGCTTTTCACAAGGTCCAGCCCAGCTTTTGGTGCTAATAAAGAATGTCACTTATGTGGCCTTACCCCCGTGGATTTATTTCCTTCAAGAATCTTCTGGTGGAAGACTCGTTGATCAAGGACAGTATCCTAATCTTATCATCTTCCTTTTAATAATTGGATTCTTTGCTTTTAAGGAAGAGACATAACACATTCTACTTACATATTTTAAGTCTTCAGGTCATAAAATTCTGAATAATTTAAAAAAACATCGTCTATATTATTGTCAGTTATGATAAAGCAATAAAAAGAAAAGGAACACTTCTGAAGAGACATTAACATATTCAATGCCAGAAAAATCCAGCCATAAACATGGCAAAAAATAGGTATACAAGAAGAGTAGGAGATATAAACATAGAAGACAGGGAGAGAACCAGAGGAAAAGGAAAGAGGAAGGACCATTATTTTCATATACGGTATATGAAAATATGCATACGGTAGGAAAGTTATTGGCAAACTTTTTCTGTATTCTGTAAATACTTTATTGAGGCTTTGCAGGTCATATGTTTCCACGCTGTTATTGTAGGAGGAAAGCAGCTACTAATGTAAACATACAGGCAGGGCTGTGTTCTGGTAAGAATTTTTTTTTTTTTTTTACAAAACCTTTTATGGGGATGGAAAGCACAAACAATCCATTGTTACTTGCTTATGTAAAAGCAGCCTCAACATTTGCCAAATTCCTGAGAAGTACCATCAAACTCAATTTAACAGGTATGCTTCTTAAAACTCTAAACAAACTAAAACTGAGTATCTGTAAAACAAATGGCATATATGTCCAGAAAGTCTTTTAAGTATTGAAATTTCTATGAGGGCTGAAAACATAAGTCCTTAAAAATTGGTCTAGTTTTATTACAAGCAAAAAAAGCACAACAATTCAAGAATCCTATAGAATTGTCATATCTCATTTTGCAAAAGACTGCCACTAAAGGCTATTGAGAACCTGCCACTAAAGTGTATCAGGTGAAAAGCACAATGTTACCTACCTCCTCTCTAGGTCTTGGTTTCCCCACATCAATTCTCAGGACTACATCAGAAGGCATTTACCCATGGGGTTATCTGCCTCTTCTACAATTTTCAGGATTATCAGGAGAGTAACACTGACCTAAGTCCCTGTAAGACCTAAGTACCTACTGGTAGGCACTGAGTGGCTTGGCAGCTAGGTACCTTTAGAAACAAGGTGCTCCCACCCAAGTTCTCCTACCTCTTTATTCTGCTGTGTTTGCTGCCACCTCCAGCGCCTTTTCAATGCCTCTTTCTCCACTCCCTTCTCCATCAGTCCATACAAAGATTTCCGTAGCATCAAGTCCCGATCATGGAAGCCCCACATTCCTGTGGCAAGAAAGCATAACAGTAAGACATCTTATCTTGACTCAACGCCACTTACTAATTGATACAAAGACCCTGGCATGAAGGAAATCAGGCTGAAGCCCAGGTTCAAAGAAATTCCTGCTGAGATTTAAGGAACAAGTACTTCATCGAGAAAGAAAAGATGCTTCCACTCTGGAGGCTCAAAGACTTCAAGAACTTGAAAGTGGATAATATACCACATCCCACAAACTCCTGACAGGAAGCCGTTCCCCTGAAGCAACTTAACAAACTAAATACAGAGTAGCAACAGTTAAGCCTGATCTGGCACACAGCAATCAGCATTCACGCTTGAGGGGGTGACTGAAAAATTGAGGGCAAATAACATATTGAGTTGTAAGGAAGCTTAATAATTTAAAGTAAATAAGTATTGCATAGAACTGCTGAAGACTTATCTTCTCATATCCCAAAATAATAAATATTAAGTAGAATTACACACACACACACACACACACACACACAGCTATATACTGTGTGCTAAACACTACTCATTACCCCCAGGGGTCAGCTCTCAGAGTGGGCCCAAGCTAATCCCTTTGCTCTCCTCACTATCTCACTAGTGAGGATAGGGCTCACTCCCATCACTTCCTGTGCCAACACACACACACACACACACACACACACACACACACACACACACACACCCTTGCTCTGAACCATCACTTCTAAGATCAAGGTTGGCTGGATCACGTCCTACACCTGAGACTGGCTTTCTTTCTACAGAGGAATGGAGAACCGCTTTTGAGACTCACCAAGAGAGGCAGCATGCAGGAGGCAGTTCCCATCTCCAGTAGTTGCCAAAGGAAGCAGTCTCTGACAGGTGGGGTCCACACTCACCCACCAGTTCAAACGCCCTGCAGAAACATGGTGGTGAAAGAAAACAAGTACAACAGATTATCCACGAAGCCCTTCCACTTCTTTATTTCTACAAGATGCCAAAGTAACCTCATCTAGGACACCTACCTAGAGCAAAACCATCTTCTTCACTTATATCTAGTCAGTCTGAATCTGGTGAGCATGACTGGTTAGGTCAGTGGGTCTTAAGTGGGGACAATTTTGTCCCAAGTGGACATCTGGCAATGTCTGAAGATAAGTTTGCATGTCACAACTACTAGAGGGTGCTACTAGCAACTAATGGATAGAGGCCAGGGATGCTGCTAAACATAATTCAATGCACACGGCAGTCTGCACAACAAAGAATTATCTGACCCAAAATGTCAATAGTGCCAAGGTTGAGAAGCCCTGGGTTAAATGATGAAGCCAAGGTCATAAGCTGAAACTTGTGTTGGCTACTTGGTCTGGCTCTCATTCCTTCCCTCTGGTCAAGAGGCCAATAAATATTGTAGCAACAAAACCATCATCAGTAAAACAAAAACAACTCAAAGCATGTATTTAAAGTATCCTGTGAGTTAGCAAGTCAGCATATGTGTAGTGCAGCTTTAAAGACATAAGCAGTAAGCTGGAGTATACGAAACACCCAAGAAAACGAGTCTCAATTCTATATAGTCATTCCACAACTGCCAACTCATTATTTTCTCCAACAGAGAAATATATTTTATGAATGACACTTTAAAGTTTTCTTGAACTACTGAAAAGCCTACAGAAAGAAAAACTGGCTTATAATTTCACCAGCCCAGAAAACTCACTAACCTAAAAAAACAATTACAAACAGATGCATGTGGTTAGTATAGAAGGTAAGTTATAAAATGAAAAATAAAAGCTTCCTTTCCATGGCCCCATCTCCTAACTCCAGTCCTTCTCCTATGGAAGTATTTTAATACCTGACTAGCTCTTCCAGAACTCACATCTGTTTCGTCCTATGATATTAACAAATTTTAACAATAATTTAAGATAAACACAATTGTAAAGGTAAATAAATTTGGGGAGAAGTTTCATGACTATAAATGTGACTTTTAGATTAATCACTACTGTACATCATCTACAGCACTGGTCATTTCTGTTCACAAGGGTGTTCTACAGCCAGTTATAATTAGTGTATTTTTTTCATGTGTCGATTTTTAGGTATTGATTCCTAAGCCTTTCATAGGTATATCTGGTTTCCCTTCCATCAAACAGGAAATTACCAGAGTAAAGGATCTAATCTATATTCTTTCTTTAACTTTAGTACATGACTGCAATCAGATCACACACTTAAACCAGAGGCTACTAAGAAAGCCCAGTTCTTCCATGTGGCTGCCTGTAGGTAGAGAGCAGAGAAAGGAGCAGGAAAAACTCACTGACCTGCCTGTTCCAGGGCCACCAGCATGGACTGCTCAATGAGGTCTCTCTCTATGAAACTGCGGAAATCTTCATTGTACACAGTGAGATCTGGAAGCTGGAAGGCACAGATGGGCATTTCCAGGGGGTGCTCACTGCTCCCCCCACCCCCACCATTGGAGGAGACATGGGACCGGGCCAGGGAAACAATGCTGGAGCTGGCGTGGGAGATGCCCCTAGACAGGCGTTTTTCTGCAATGAGAAATGGAGTTACCTTAGAACATACACAGCCAACTCAGAGAACTCTCTAACTGCTGTGGTGATGATTACCTCTAATCAGGGTTTACAGTCAGGAAAAAACTCAGTCTAACTGGTTGGACTTCACGACCCTTTTTCTCAAGTCAAATACAATTGGAAAAATATAGAAAGTGGAATTTTTGCAAGCACACATTAGCACCAAATATACATTCCCCTTTTTACCCTTGTTTGAAATTTCCCTGATTTTCCTCTTTCTGACTCTCCTTCCACTTCCATTTTCAACATGATAGTGACCCATTTGTTTAGCAACTTGGTCATTGTTTGGTGGGGGAAATAAGGAATAAAGGAAACAGGATTTAGTCAAATAATCTCTTATAATTCTCAGAGTCTTGGAGAATATAGAAAGGATTTCCATTATAGAAAAGAAAATTAATGACAAATCTTACATATTCAGTAACTTTCTTCCAGCAACAATAACATTGACTTATATTGTTTACTACAACTTTTCTTGATACCCATATTTATCAGAAATGTATAGGGACAGTCAACTTTCAGCAAGCTATAGAGGAAAACAAAAATGTAGTATATCAAGCCATTTCATTTCTTTTCAATACATGGCACCTGTAAATCCCCAGCAAATTGTAATCATAATTCACTCAGTATGGTATTATTCACTTGCATGACTTAAGTTATATAATGACTTAAGGATTATCAAAAAGGAGCAAGAGTTCAAAAGCATATTGGGTTGTTATCCAATATTTGCCAGAGATGATGCACAAAATAAATTAAGAGTTATCTAAAGTTATTTTATAATTATGTTATTTTAAAAATTTGTTTTAGGTATTTAAAAAGTACTATGTGCTCATGGTAAAAAGTAAAATACTATCAAAAGGTATAAAATTATTTTATAAAGAAATCTTCCTCTCACTCAAAATTCCTGAGCCCTTACCTGGGGCAAATTTTTTGTATCCATCTAGAAATTTTTATGCAATCTCCCCACCTCAGCCTTCCAAGTAGTTAGAACTACAGGCGTGTGCCACTATGCCCAGCTAGTTTTTTTTTTTGAGTTGGAGTTTCACTCTGTCGCCCAGACTGGAGTGCAGTAGCCGCTCCCGGCCACCGCAGCCTCGACCTGCTGGGCTCTGGCAATCCTTTCACTCAGCCTGTAGCCGGAATTACAGGCACGCGCTACCATGCCCGACTGATTTTTTGATTTATTGTAGAGATGAGGTCTCGCTGCCCAGGCGGGTCTCGAACCCGCAGGCTCCGGCAATCCACTCACCTCAGCCTCCCAAAGGCGCGGGATTACAGGCTGAGCCACCGAGCCCGGCTAATTTTTAAGTTTTTGTAGAGAGAAGGTCTATGTTGCTCAGGTTAGTCTCAAACTCCTGGTCTCAAGCAATCCTCCTGCCTCAGCCTTCTGAGTAACTGGGACAACAGGTGTGTACCCCCATCACCAGCCTACAAGTAGCTTTAAAATCACTTATTAAAACACAAACAAGAGAATACTACCTACATTGCAATCATCTTAACTTTCTGAATAGATATTGTAAGTTTTTTCCAAAACAGCACATCAAGTTCTATCTAACTATTTCTAACAGTTGCAGAGTATTCCACAGTAGGAGTGACTGCAAATTATTTAACCACTCCTTTACTAATGGACATGAAAAGCTTTCAAGGTTTAATTATTGTAAAATAATGCTGCAGTGAATATCCTTGTGCACCTATGTGTATGTGTTAATGTATGTATTTAAAGGAATATATATATATATATACACACACACACACATATATAATAAATTCCATATGAAGTTCTGAGTCAAAGAGTATATATGCATTTTAATTTTGATACTGACAAATATTAACAAATTACTCTTCAAACAGATAGATGATATAATGGCCCTTTTAATTCTACCTTTATGTATGACTTATCTCAACAAACAGATTGCTATCTTCCTCTACTTATTTTACAGTATCTGAACAATGTTTCTATACAGGATAACACTAAAGATGCAGAGAGACAGTGAGGGGCTCCATCAACTAGACAGATTGAGGTTACCTCAATTTGGCTTTGGCTGGTGATAAGGAGGAGGAATGGCACCATCGTCAAAGGACCACCAGACTTTTTGATTTAACTTGGCAGTCCCTTCCTTCCTACTACCTATACAGAAACGTCCCCCAGTTACCCCACTACCTTGAACGATGTCATCCTGCCGCTGTAGGATGGGTCGGGGAGGGCGAGTAGACTCAGAAAAACCTTTTTCTGGGGTCTTGGAGCCACCACTCCCTTCACTAAAGGATGCGGGTAGGTTCCCAGCATGAACTTGACGTAACTGTTCAAAATCACTGAGGGCGGCGCTCACATCCCAATTCTGTCCTGTCAGTAGACAAAGCAAAAAGCAAATTATGCACCCAGAGTACAGGGAAACTGGGGAAACACAGAAAGATCACACTAACTATCCTATCAAAACTAGCAAACACACACTCATGTTCACTGATCATTCTTCTTTCCCTGACCTTACTTTACTTCATAACACTTTAATCTAAAATATCAAGTTTCTTTATTATTTATTGTCTGTTTCCTAAATAAGTTCCATGAAGATAGAACCTATCTCTCTAAACTAAAAGAGCCCTTAGAGAGCTAGTAACCTGAAAGCAAAACTTCCTTTTACTGATAAAGGAAACAAAACCTAGAGAAGTAAGTGACTTGCCCAAAGTCACAGCTAATTTGCAGCAGGCCCAGCAGGACTCAAGTCCATGTATCCTAATTCTGAGCCCTAAGGGTTTCTTTGTCTAGATGTGCTCTAGCAGTGTGTCCTAAACCACTGAACTTATACACAAAGTTATGAGGCTGTGCTTTTTTCCTACTGAAAGGGTTTCTAGTTGTCATCAGCTTATCAAAGGAAGCTATATGTGGTCCAAATTTAAGAATCACTACTCTATTGAAGAAATTACCCTAAATAATTGATTTATATAGTAGATTTTTCCTTTGCTTCCTCCAGTTAAATTACTCAATAAATATCTACTGCATAATTGTTCATACTTTGTTCTGTTCTATTCCATCTGTCACCACCTTAATTCAATACTTGTCGCCTACTGTCCCAACCCCAAGTCACTCTAAAGAATCCAATGAGATTAATCTTTGTAAAGTTGTAATCATTTCAGTTCCACAATCAAAATCTTTAATAGCTTACTACTGCCTAATAATAAAGTTAGCACCCTTGTCTGATATTCAAGACTTTTATGGCCTGGCCTACTTTTCTGGCCTCTCCTCTGTGCTTCAATTTCTTTATTTGTGAAAGTGAAAATGATAATAAAGTACCTACTTCTTGGGGTGAAGATTAACTGAGTTAAAGTGCATAGAATAGTGCTTGGTTTTACTTATTACTTCTAAATCGTTACTGATAATTTAACTTCTAACCCATTACATTCACCATTTGTTCCAATTCCCTTTGCTCACTCTGCTCCAGTCACCCCAGCCTTGCTGTTCCTAGAACATGCTAAGTCTGCTCCCACCCCACGGTCTTTCCTAGAAGGCTCTTTCCCCAATATATCCACAGAGACAGTTCTTCATCAGCTTCAGAAACTATTCAAATGCCACTTTTTTTTTTTTTTTTTTTTTGAGTTGGAGTCTCACTCTGTTGCCCAGACTGGAGTGCAGTGGTGGCTCCTGGCCACCGCAACCTCGCCTGCTGGGCTCCGGCGATCCTTCCGCCTCAGCCTTCCGAGTAGCCAGAATTACAGGTGCGCGCTACCACACCCGGCTGATTTTTGATTTATTGTAGAGATTAGGTCTCGCCAAGTTGCCCAGGAGGGTCTCTAACCCAGGGGCTCAGGCAATCCACTCACCTCAGCCTCCCAAGGCATGGGATTACAGACTGAGCCACCTAGCCTGGCCAAATGTCACATTCTTAATAAGGCCTACCCTGACTACCCAATTAAGGATCACAACCCACCTCATCATTCCCCTTACTGTTTTCCATAGGACTTAACACCTGATAATATGCTTTATTATTTACTTAGTTATCATGTGTATTGCTTATTGACTGTCTCTCTTGCTAGAACATGTGGGCAGGGATTTTTGTTTTCTTCAAGCATCTAGAATAGCACCTGGCACGTAGTAGGTACTCAATAAATATTTGTTGGATGAATGGAGAACTTTTGTCCTGAATGAACAAATGAATTAATGATGTCTGTCTTGAGCACTGGATCTGTACTTCCAATTGTCTACAAATCTCCCTAAAATTAGGTCCTCCTAACAATCAACATGTCCAAATGTGAATGTCCATCATCTTCTTTCCTAAAATTTGCTTCTTCTCCCACTCCCATGTTCCCTAAATTCCCTAATTCAGTAATGGTATCACAATCCCTCCAGGTCCTGAGACTTCAGTCATTCTCAGCACCTCACTATTCTTCAGATCCCACTCTCACTCCTTTCTCACTATCCAGGGATTTCTCAGGGTTGTTCATACCCCTGAAACATCTCTCAATTTCATTCTTTCTTGTCCATTTTTATTACCACTGCCCCAGTTCATAACCTTTATCTGGTCTTTCGTCTTTCAGGGAGGAGTTGTCTGACTAGTCTCTGTTCCTAATCTCTCCCCTCTCTAGTGTGTTCTTTACACTACAACCAGGTAACTTTTAAAGAAAAAAGCAAGAAATAGAGAGAAAATGAGAATGAGGTCCTTTGATTCCCCTTCTAAATTATCTTAAATCCATTCATTTATCTATATTGCTACCACTGAAGTTCAAGTCACTATCATCTCTCACCTAAACTATGGCAAAATTCTGAACTGGTCTTACTACTTCTTTTCTGGCCACCTTCCAATCTATTTCATGCCCCACATAACCAGTACACCGTTAAAAACTCAAATCCAATCATGATTTGATTAAAATCCTTCTGCTTCCCAGTGAACTCAGAATAAAATTTAAACTCCTTACTCTGGTTCCTCATTTTCTGCTTCCTGCCTATCTAACCAGCTTCCTACCACTCTTGCACCATTCTTATTACCGTCTTCATGATTAGTTTCTCCAATGTGCTAAAATCTCTTTCACCTTGGGGTCCTTGTATAACAAGCCTATTTCTTCTGCATGAACACTCTTTTCTACATCCCTTGGTCTTTCTACTCTTACTCATCCTTCAGGTTTCAGTTCAAATATCACTTCCTCAGAAAGGCCTTCCTGCACTCAGATCTGTCTGACTTCTCTCTTCACTCTCATAGCACCCTCACACCCTTTCTTTCACAGCAGGAGAGAGAGAGAGTGAGAGAGAGAGAGTGTGTGTGTGTGTGTGTGTGTACATGCAAGGAATAATTTGTAACATCATTATGAGCCACACTCTGAAACCAGATTGCCTAGGTTCAAATCCTGCTTAACTTCACTGAGTATACATTTTAAAAATACTAATACTGGAATTAAAAAACTTATATTGGAGGGTGGTTGTGAGGATAAAGTAACATATCTCAAGTACTTTGTAAATATTAAACATATAGGTATTTAACACATGTTATAAAATAAATGGGGAATTATTAAAGATTGTTTTATAAAAGAGGAGGCATCTGAGCTAAATCTTGAAAGCTAAGGAAAATAATGGAGGAAAGGATACTGCAGACCTAGGAAATAACCTAACATGATTAGGGGAAGGTGACAAGACAAGCCTGACTAGAGCACAGGAAAAGTAGTAGGAGACGAAACTGAAAATGCAAGTTAAGGGCAAAGTTGCAGTGAATGAGTAAGCTGGAATTTAAGCCCTGATATATTTCCAAACGCATGCTCTTCTCTAAGCAAATGTCAAACTGGCACACCTTAGGCTAAGGGCTGATGATCTAAAAAATTCACCTATGTATGCTAAGAACTAGCCCTTTCCCCAAGGCCTGCCTGTTTGTGTCATTATATATTTCCATCTGTTAATTATGACTCTAAACAAAGAATTTAGAACATTCAAACTTGCATGTATAAACAGATACAAGTAAACAAAAACAGCAAACGAAAAAAAATTAATTCACTCAATGTAGAATTACTTATAAGTTAGGGAAGGAAAGAAACAAAACCATGGATAATCCCAAATATGAAAATCCGAAAGTAATTTGTATATAGAGAAATTTTACATATCTAGAATTATGTTTTCAATAAACTAATATAAAATTTCACCTGCATTACTTGAGCATAAACTAATAATGGAGAAAGTGGCCCTGGGAAACTCAAGATGAAAAAGGGATTTTGAATTTTAATAATATGATGGGTCACACACAGAGTATATCATTAGAATTAACCGTAGGATCTACCATATGCAAAGTATCTTCCTGATCACCTTAGCTGTTCCAAATCATTTTAACAATAAATACCACATTTTACTTTATCTTTTCTCATTCTCCCCCATGACTCTACCTTCCAAGAGATCTCGGGCCAGCCCTGGTTCTGCTCCTGTGGAACGGACAAAATCTGACAGGACAGCATCCATGTCCAGGGTCATGTGATCATCAAGTACTTTCAGGCAGCTGGGTGTAGGTAGGACATAGATCAAAATTCAAGTCTCCACCTGAGGAAGAAATAAACATATAAGGCTCAAATTATACTGGAAAAGGATGATCACAGCCCAATTTCAGCAGTTTTGTAACCAAATGGGAAAACTAACTACACTAGTTCATTCATTTCAGTTGAATTTTAAAACACAGTAGTTTAAAATGTATTATAAAGAGTAACATTTAGTTTCCTAATTCCTCATTAACATTTTAACTCCTGCATTAACCATAAACCTGTAATAACCACTCTGAATAATGCTTTCCCTCTACTTTTCTAGAGTGTCACTTTTCTAGCATGAGTTTGCTTATCCAAATGAAAGGAAGGAAGCAGCAGGTCACCACTCTAAAGAACTCCCCACCTGTGATATTCTCTAACATGGCACTTTGTTTATTTCCTTTCTGGCACTTAATTATCCTAATTTTTTCTTTTTTTCAGTTGCTATTAGCAACCTCCTTGAAAGCAGGGAACTTGTGTGTGTCATTCACTAATTCCCCCAGCATGTATCACTTGGCATAGTGCTTGGCACACTGGTCCTCAGTAAGTATTTGTTGAATAAATGAATGAATGAATAAACACTATACATCAGATAATTTTAGAGTTGACTAGTGTTTTGATACTAGCAGAAGAAACAGGAGAAGTAAACCAATAGCTAAAACTATTTAAAATAAAATAAGCTATTCCACACAGCAAGTGGGAATCCCAGAGGTTCATAACAAAAGTCAGTCTTTGTCTACTAACTTCATGAACCCAGGAAACATGTCTACCCCAAACATGTCTTTCTCCATCCTGAACAAATGATTACCAAAATTCACCTGAAAAGATTTCTTCTTTCAGACTCGGCTTTGGCAGAAACTATGTCCCCAACCTGACATCCTGGCACCAATCCAACATTCCTCTGAGGTTAACAGTCCCAACAGAGGAAGAAATAACAGAGTGAAGAACAATCTCAGACCAAATTTTGCCAGGTTTACAGTTCTCTGTAGAACAGGACTCATTCATAAAGTTGCCATGTACACACCTGCCCTACCATAACCACCAATGTCTACTCTTTTGGTGAAGGTCAAAAGTATAATTCTTGAAGGCAATAGGTGACTCAGGTTACTATTCAGAAACATCTCCTCTCAAACAGCCTAAAGTCTAAGAGTGACTTCCAGATACTTTTTCTTCATGCCTCTCCCATCCCAGTACAGTTTGTTCAGTGGTATGATCAGATCCTGATTTTCTGCATTCCTTAGAAATATGAAGACAGATAAGCAGCAAAGATTTGCGGGTTATAATACCAGTAGGCCTCTAACTTCATAACACAGAATTTTGGGGGTGAGGGGGTTGTGTGTGAGAGAGAGAGATGGCAAAATAGAAAGTGTTCTCTCTTGTCCTGTTCTAGTAGTACAAGAGACCCAGAGTGCAGGACATGACTTCCTCATATTTGTAGCCTCAACATCTGGCATAGCATCTGCAAGATAGTAGATAGTCAATAAATGCCTGATGGATAAAGAATTAAATGACTCAGTGAATCTCCACATTCCACCAGCAAATCAATCTATTTGAAGCTTAACAGACAAAAAAAACTCTAGAGTGCTTTTTAATCACCCCTCTATTTCTAAGGGTCTCTCATGGTCCTAATCCAGCTATTGAAGTTGTAAACACTCTCCTTTTTAAAGAGTTATCAACCATACTGTTAACTATTCTCTCTACTCTCATATGATATGGTTTTTACCTAAACTTATATGTATTACCTGGGTGACTTTGGTCAAATAACTTACAGGGTTTCAGTTGCCTCTTCTATAGCCTCAACTTGAATTAGATGACTCCTGAGATCCTTGTCAGGTTTTAAAAACGAACTTCTTGAGTTCACTACAGCCTCATAAGCTGTGATCCTTGAATTATCTTTCACTCTAGGTATTATCAGTATAATTTACTTGAGTTTCAATATCATAATTGTCAGAAAAGGGCTACTAATACATTAAAAACTTTTGGTCTAAGATACCTCAAATTCAAAATGTCCAACTATAAAGTAAATTCAGTTCTTACATTGAATATTTAAGAATTAAATTCCTTCAGCATTCATAGGTGAATAAATGGCTTATCCCTCCCTAACACAGGCAAGAAACCCACTTTAGTCATGGCCTTAGGTCACAGGAGATGGTAGCAGCTCAAGTAACTTATACACATGAATAATCCAAAACCAAGTGCATAGCTATAAAATACATTTCAATCTTCTCTCTTAAAAAAATGCAAAGTAACATAAAACCACTTTTAAAACTTTCTGAAAGAATGTAAGAAATACAAAATAACAATCAGCAAAAAGGTGTTCAGCAGAAAGGAAAAGGGCTGATTAAGACACAGGCATGTAGGCAGTTTTCCAGCCAGATACAGGCATCTGGGAGAAGGTAATGAAAACCATCAGTGTTATGGCATCACAGATCTCACATGTCAACACAGTAGGTAGGCCAATCTATTCAAAAAAACATTTAAAAAATAATTTAGAGGTCCAACATTATCTGAAATCACTTGCTCTTTAGCAAAAACCTGAAACACTAAGCCAAACTTCTTGGCAGCACACTCTTATATTTGATGCCTTTAGGCGCATGCATGCCATGGACTCAGCCCTAACCCCACCCAACAGGTTAGGACAGCAGCTTCTGTTACATCATCACCAACACCTGGCCTGAGCTTCTCACATTTCAAATGGGGATATCTCAGCCAATGACTAAAACACAGTCTTCGGCTCTGTCTCACCACACGGGAAGAAAATAAATAAACAAATAAATAAATAAATAAAAACAAAAACAAAAAAGAATGGATTTCAACCTTTCAAATAAAACAGAGGAGGCACTCAAATATTTGTTAATTGTATGGTATAAAGACAGATCTCACCTGACATCAAAACCTTCCAAGTGAAAGGGCTGCTAGCAATTGCTTAATCCAAATACCTGCCCCACACAAGAATTCTTCTATTACATCTCTGGCTGATAAATCACCTAGTCTGCACTTGAATACAAGGTCTGATGGAGACCTCATTACTTTTCCATAATGTCCATTTTATTATTTGACAGCTCTAATAGTTAGAAAATGCTTTTTAAAACTAAAGCAAAGGCTATCACCAGCTCCCAATCCCCATATAACTTTCACATAATGGTCTTTATACTATTCTCCAAAACAATACAAATATACCCATGTGCATGATGGAATTTTCATGGAAAATTATTAGATAAAGCATTTCTTTATATAAACATTTGTTGTAGATCAACATCACAATGTTACCATGAGTCAGCCAATGGCCATTTTTTTTTTTTTTTACAAAATCCTTTCTTTTATCAGTAATTTCTTGCACCTGTATTCATTTGTAAATGTTTGTGTGAACCCTATCATACAAACTCAGCATGCTGAATAAATGAAGTACGTTGTTCAAAATTCACTTCTGCTGCTCTCTTTGCCTCTCACCCCTACACTTCCACTTCCATGCCCTCTTGAAGTGATGACAGTAGTCAAGAATAAACACTAACAAGTCAATTTTAGTTAAGTACTTTCAAAAACACTCTTATTCCTTAATGACAAAACTTCTGCAGCAGTCTCATTATTCCAAATTTACAAATGGAGAAACAAAAAAGGTTTGAAAAGGCAGGTGGGTGGCCCAAAGTCTGAACTCAATAGTCTGAACCCACACTCTTCCTGCTGTACCATACTGCTCCTCAAAGGACTAGGGCATGATTGATTCCTGGAACAGCCCTGATTCTACCCATTTAATTCTTTCAATATAGGAAAGGGCTGTACAGCTCTCATATTGTTCATAGACTTAAAAAATTTGCCTTACATTTTCCTCACTTCAAATCCTACCATCTTCCTGAGCAATTTCAACATCCACCTGCACAATTCATCTAACATTTCTGCCTTAGAGTTTCATAATCCCTTCAAATACAGAGACCTCCAGCTCCCCTACAATAGCTCAGACCTGGACCCTGCTCTTTCCTAAAACCATTCCACCTCTAAATCTTTTTTTTTCTTTTTTTTGAGTAGGAGCCTCACTCTAGTGCCCAGGCTGGAGTGCAATGGCATCCTCACGGCCTCTGCAGCCTCGGCCTGCTGAGCTTAAGTGATCTTTCTGCCTCAGTCTTCCAAGTAGCTGGAACCATGGGCATGTGCCACCACACCTGGCTAATTTTTGATTTATTGTAGAGATGAGGTTTCACCAAGTTGCCCAGGCTGGTCTTGAATCCCTGTACTTAAGCAATCCTCTCACCTCGGACTCCCAGAGTGCTGAGATTATAGGTGTGAGCCACCATGCCTGGTTCCACCTCTAAATCTTAAGCTGCAACATCTTACTCTGACCACAACCTCATCTTCTTGCAGCTTTTCCTCTCTACTTTTAAACCTTTCTTATCTCATGAGGACATCCAATCTCTTAACCACATTATTCATTAATTCAGCAAAAATTCATGGAGTGCCCATGTGTTAGGCACTATGCTCAAGATTAAAAACACAACAGTGAACTACACATAACACCTATCTTCATAAGTTTTCAGTATGGAGGAGGAAAACTCACACAATTTCATAATTATAATAAAAGTGTTGTAGGAAGTCAGGAAAAGCTTCCTCAAGAAAATGATGTTTCATTTAAGAACTGAAGAATAGCCAGGTATGGTGGCTCACACCTGCAAACTCAGCACTTTGGGAAGCAGAGGCTCAGGACTGTCTGAGCCCATGGGTTCAAGACCAGGCTGGACAACTTGGTGAGACCTCATCTCTACAATAAATCAAACAATTAGCTGGGCGTGGTGGCACATGCTTCTAGTTCCAGATACTTGGAAGGTTGAGATGGAAGGATCATCTGAGCCTAGCAGGTCAAGGCTGTGGTGGCCATGAGCATGCCACTGCACTCTAGCATGGGCAACAGGGTGAGACTTTGACTCAAACAAACAAGAAAAAAGAACTGAAGAATAAGTAGCAACTGGAATGACAAACTAGAGAAGAAAAAGTGCTCCAAACATAGGAAACATATGTCAAAGTTCTGTATCA